GGGGGGGTTTTATACTATCGCGAAGCAGGAAGGCCGGGTCGAACTTTCCTCCGTTTGTGGGCATTTCGGTCCGAAGACAGCAAGAGCAAGGGAGAAGCCACGTACCCATCAGTTCGCGTGCCCTCGACCACCGTCTGAAAAATACCGTACCTGGGAGCTGACCCGGTTGTGTTATACTAGTGGATTGAGCTCGCTGTCGCGCGCTTGTAAAATTCAGCTGCTATTCCAACCGTTCAGGGGGTCAATGCTTCCAGTTCAGGAGAGCCAACACTTACCGTCCAAGAGCTCAGTCAATGCTTCCCGTTCAAGATGCCGAGTCCAATCAAAATCCTTTAGTGTGGCAATTATACAGGTATTGAGCTAGGCAAAGAACCGTGTTTTTTGGTCCAGTCTCTCGAGTCTGCAACTTTGCAGTTAATCATGTTATATGAGATCCTTATCGATAACCGACTACCACCATCATCCCGCCCAAGCATCACGAACATCATCTAGTCACCTTCTTCCCTCAGACAAAAAAATCCATTTCCATCAGCTCGACACCGACTTCTCGTGGCCTGATACCACCACTCCGATGCCGTATCAATGCCCATCTGCATAGAGTGTCGGCACCCCGTAAAGACGCTATGGCGCGAAGGGGCGGGCGACAAGTCGGGCGGCCACAACATCCGACTGACGGTGTGCAAGAACTGCGGGCGGTTCTGTGACAAATATGTCGAGCACGACTTTGTGGTGTTGTTCATCGACCTAGTCTTGATCAAGCCGCAGGTGGGCGACTTTGGGAGCGGACCTTTTCCTGAGATCGAGGACGGTCATGACTGAGACTGAATTCCGTGCGCTATAGGTGTATAGACATTTGCTGCACAACACGTTGATGAAGGATGAGGACGAGTTTGCGGTAGGTATCCGTTTATCGGGAGTTAGGCTCCATAACCATCATGAGACTAATACATCAATGCGACAATGTCACATAGCCATCCATCATCCGTCTCGGAATTCTCCTGCTCCTCTTCGACGTCTACCTCACGTGGGCGCGCATCGAGCGCCAGTCTGTCCCCGACGCGGATCCCGCTAGCGGGAGCAACTTTGGCCGACTGGCGCAACAACCGATCGTGTTCCAATACCTGTTCTTCCGTACGCTCCCCCTTCTTTCCCTGTCCAACCCAGTTTCTCAACCGCAATTTACTTACACCTCACTCTATCCTCGGATCGACAGTAATCTTCTGCACTCTCTCAACACTAGCCTTCCACAGTTCCATCCGGTTCCTCACGTCGAGCCGCTACTCGCCGCTGGGCTGGCTGGGGATCCTGCCGCAGTACTCGCGGCCCAACTCGGTGTCGACGGCGCTGCTCGTGTCGTCGTCGACCAAGCTGTTCCCCATCCTCATGGTCATATGGGAGTACGACGTGCCCGCGGCCGCGCGCTCGCTGGGCTGGGCAGTCGTCGCCAACAACGTCGAGGCCCTCAAGATCCTGCTCGACTGCGGCTACGGTGTCGCCGCTCTTCTGGCCACCGCCGGCGCCCTCAGCCGCTGGGCCATGGGCAGGGCCGTGCTGTGGGCGGCGGGCCTGGAGGGGGTCGATTCCGCCGGCGAGACTGGGGTGGCTGAAGATGGGAGAGCGCTGGGCGCTTTGCTGCTGTACTTGAGGGACTGGGCTGGGAGGTTGGCGGTTGGGTAGGCAGGAAGCAAGTTGCGAGACTCGAGAGATAACAAACGGGGATGATTGACGATTAACGTTGTCTTTTCCTGTCCCCGGGACCAAGTTTGATGCAACTTTGAATTAGCTGCCTCTGCAGGAGTGCTTGACTGTACAAGTCCCAATTTCCCCAATGTAAGGTGCGCAAAACCTAAATGTCCCCGGCCCTGACCCCGAACGCCGTCCTGTTCCTTATACCTATATGAATGACATTGGTATTCGTACAACAACAACCATGGTTGTCCCTCAAGTACTGCCCCCGGCTGATCCCGCGCCACGTCCTCCCCTCGTCTGTCAACGTGTAGCTCAGTGGTGAACGTATTCCTTGCGCAGGTCGGATCGTCTTGGCTCCATGAGCGGGTGGAGCTGGGATAGTAAAGTGATGGCCCACATGAGGAAACAGCTGACGAAGGAGAGGATAAGGGAGGAGCGCCAAAGGCTAGGGTCGGAGGCGAGTGGTGTGTTAGCTTGGGGATCGCGGCAGAGTACTGGTGTGGGGAGGGTAGAGTCGTGGAGAAACATACACTTGGTTCTCGCCCTTGGGTGAAAAGAACCATGCCGCTAAACACATGGCGCCAACTATCACCATGCCGATAAAGATGCTCCAGCTGCGTATGTTAGAGTTGGGGTTTTACATAGAGCTGTGACTTGGTTCCGTACCCGTTTGCCATTTTGCGGAATTATAGGCGCTGCGCGTTCGTGACTGCCAAGATGGATCTCAGCCGATGGGACGACTGTGGTCGAGGGCTAGGCAGTTACGCTGGTGACTACGGCAATCAGAAGCGTCTGGATGTCTGGTGCGCCGTGTTTGACTTGGTTGGAGATGCCGAAGCTCTGGCACAGCACCTCAGCAGCTTCGGATCCCGGTCGCTCCAGCTTAGTCATACATATCTCGGAAACATTACACTGATGTAATGTACTTACCGTATCTGTAGTCCATTCAGTGTACTGTACAAGTACACGCATACATTACCGGTCTGCCTCTGGCCTTTGCCTGTGTTCAAACTTCAAGTTCCACACTGGAACTTCCAACAGCTCCGCGAGTTTTACCTATCGAGAAACGCCCACGACGTCTAGCTACCGGTAGTTCCCTGAACGGAACCGTATTGAAAACGACGATATATACAACATATCTTGGGAATTGACCAGGCCGATTGGCAATCAGCTAATTGTTCTCATACTTCAATCCCGCCTCCTTCCTCACAGCGCCATAGATCCCAGCAAAGTCCCCCATCTCACCCGCGTGCTCCTTGACGGCGATCAAATGCGCGTCCGCTGTCTCTACATTTTTCAACCTTACTCCAGCTTCCTTCGCCAGATTCAGGACATGCCCGGCATCTTTCCTAGCCAGATCCACAGCGAAGAGCGGGTATTCCCGCCGGTAATAGTCCCCTGAGAGCATGCGGGTTGAGTAAGCGGCATAGGGTCCAGGGAACATGTTCTCGATCCATTGGTGTAGGTACTGCGTTCCAAGTCCGGACTTCTCGGCCAGGACATGGCCTTCAGCTAGCTGCTCCACCATGTTCAGGACGAATGAATTGCCGATCAGCTTCAGCTTGAGGGCTTTCTCGAAGGGCTCATCGCTCATGTCGATCTCGCCCCGGGCCATGACGCCTTTGAAATATGGCCGGGCTCTTTGGACCGCCGATTTGGGGCCCGCCAGGACGCCGATTAGCTGGCCCGCGTCAGCCATGGCGGGCGCGCCAAACACCGGGGCCGCTAAGAACTCGGCACCGCACTCAGTAAAGGATTTAGCGAGGCGCGAGGTAGTGTCCGGGTGAATGGTGGAACAGTCCACGATAAGCTTGCCTGTGACGTCGCCTGCCTTGAGAATCTCGCCTGCGGCTGCCTCAACGGCGTCATCGTTGGAGAGGATGGTGAAGATTATGTCAGCTTGGCTAACGCCCGCGACGATGGAGTCGACGACTTCGGTTTTGCCGGTGGGGAGCTTTTCGCTGAGCTCAATGGAGCGCTGCTTGGTGCGGTTGTAGAGCAGCAGTGGCTGGTCGAGGTTCCCCTTTTCCACGAGGTTCTTGCACATTCCCTGTGAAGAATGTTAGTCTTGGACATGAGCAGTTCAGGGCCTGGACTTACTCGGCCCATGTTCCCTAGGCCAATCCAAAAGAGCCTCGGAGCCATTTTGTGAGAATGAGAATGATGATGATGAGAGTCCGTCGTTGAAGTGTATGGGGATTGGGGAATCGTCTAGATGAGCAACAGTGGTGTATCGGCAACAAGCGGCAGATCCAGGCAGATCCAGGGATATTGCTTGTGCTCTGAGAGGCTTGTCAACGCAGTATAAATACACCCGATCAGCGTCGGCACATCGAATCTTCTTGATATGTACGTTATACCCGGCGGAGATACGGTTTCCCTCTTGCTCGGAGATGCGAGGGGCTTCGAAACCGGTTTACAAATGATGAGATGCCACAGCACCCGACAAAGTCAGGTTCATTCCTGATCCTCCAAGAACACTTCTCATATTCAGTGCATGTGCTATTCCCGAGAGCCCGTACATTACCGGTCCGGTGTGTGTGCAACTCCCCAAGGAGCCAAGCTCTCCAAGCAAGGTGCGGGGCAAGCAAGCACTCACTGCAACAACAAGCCGCAAAGACATTGTAAGGACTTGCTCCTTGTGTATATACGTACAGTACAGTACTCATACCACCGGTAGCCGTCTCATTCCTCTCTGCCATCCTCCTAACTAGTTGCAGCGCTAAGAATCGTGCTAGACAGTAATTTCTGTGAATAGATCTGGCCCACTTCTCTCGATCTTATCAGATCAATATTTTCGGGGTGTGTGCAAGGATGTGCTATGTGCTTGCATTCTGTAAGTTTGGTGGATTCCAGTTCCACCACCCCAGACTTGCCTTTTGACTCATATACCACCACATCCTCATACCGTTTCTTTTCCCCCACCCGCGGAGAAAACTAGAGGCAATCAGATGGGATGAGCCTCGCGTCGATCTGAGAGCGTTTTCATACGGGGTTACCTTGGGGAGGGGCCCCGGAAACATCTCGCCCTCTTCCTTTGCATCATTCACCTGAGCCATGTTCACCAGAAACGGCGTTGTGGGGAGCAAGGCAGCTTGGGCAGTGCAGGTAAGATGTACCTGAATTTCCTAGATGGGCAGACCATACTCCGTACTATTCTCAACTCGCACCGAAATGCATCCTCAGGAAAAGCTTACCTGACCGTCATAATTAGGCTTCCGTATGGACGGAGAGTACCGGGTTGAGATGCATCGCCGAAACTGGCGTATCTAGGAGCCGACCCTTATCGACGGCCGAGAACGGCGCTCGGTCTGGCAGGACAGGCGCAGGTCTATCTCCGAGCCATCACTCTCCCAATGCAGGAGCAAAGGAAAAGAGGGAGTCTGATCGGGTCGGTCTCCTTCATTCCCACAGACCTAGCCACCGCTGACGGCGTGACTAGCAATTCTTGATCTCTGTTCTTGAATCGTCAGCGACCAAGCGTGACGCTAAGGCCTATCTTCAGACCTTCGGCTCTTCGCGGACAGGTTCCGGTCCGAGGAAAACGCCCGCATTTACGACTATCCTGCATGACAACATCCGTGGCACCACCGGTGTACCACGCTTTCTCCAGGGTCCGGTGCGGGTTTCCGTGGCCGACACCAGTGAGGTACCGCATATCGCCATTGTGAAGCTTAGAGAGCCACAAGCATGGGATGACACTCTGCTCGACGGGGTCGCGAAGACTCTTACCCGACTCAGGGATCTAGGTTTGGGAAGCGTGATTGTTCTCGATTGCGATCCAGCCGGAAACCCAGGCCCTCTTTGGCAGAAGGCCGTTTCCCAGCAGGCAGACCGCATACTCAAGGCAATTGGCCGCTGCGGTTCCCCAGGAGCGAAACTGGTTGGATCGGGAATATGGAAGGCCGGCGGACCACGACAGAAGCTTTCCTCGGTCGGCTGTCCAAACCTCTTCGTGGGGTTCGGCAAGGCCTTTACTACGCCTCTCAAACACGGCCACATGCTCGTGGTGCCGCCATACGCGCTATGCGACGAGACCCTTCGGTATACGGCAGCTGACGCTAATGAGATCGTTCTTGCCTTGACGAATTTCTTCTCTGGTTTGCAGTTCGATACACATTCATCGATTGAAGGTCAGCAGGGAGCCGGTGCCGACAGCCGTCCGGTTCGAGAGGCTCTGGTGGACAGAATTATCGTCATCGATCCCTTCGGTGGCATCCCCTCGACCAATCGAGTAGACGGCGCAAGGGTGTTTGTCAATCTGGAAGAAGAATTTGAACCGGTGTACGAGGCTCTCGCTGCCAATGAGCGATCCGAAGACCTGCCGGCCACATCTGGACTCTCGGGCAATTTCATGACGAAACATGCCGAGAATCTAAAGTTGGTTAAGAACACCCTTGCGATACTCCCATCAACGGCCTCAGCAGTAATAACCAGCCCAGCAGAGGCTGCTAACCTCAGAGCGCCATCGCTCGAGGCCCCTAGGGCGGATGTTGGACAATTTGCGGGGGAGGTCAAGACCAGAAGGTGGCAGAACCCGCTGATACACAATCTTCTCACTGACAGGCCCATCTACTCGGCCTCCTTACCGATAGGCAGGATCAAAGCTGCCACCCATGACACCCAACTCACGCCCCCGATGCCAACCACAACACTCGCGAAGAAAGGCCTGCCGGTGACAATCTTCCCGGATCCCCGCGCAGGCCCTTGGGTACCTCCTGTACCAGGAACACCCCGCTTGAGACTGACTGACACGTGCATCGACCTGCCTCGGCTGGTCCATCTTATCAACGACTCGTTCAACCGCAAGCTCGACGTCGAGCACTATCTCCGCCGCGTTGAGGGTAGCCTCGCGGGGATTATCATTGCTGGAGAGTACGAGGGCGGGGCTATCCTGACGTGGGAGAAACCGTTCGGGATGGACCAAAAGACGGCCTACGAAGCCGGCCGTCTGGTCCCTTACCTGGACAAGTTTGCTGTGCTTAAAAAGAGCCAGGGGGCTGGGGGGGTAGCAGACATTGTCTTCAACGCCATGGTGCGTGACTGTTTACCCCTAGGGGTCTGCTGGCGAAGCAGGAAGAACAACCCGGTCAACAAATGGTACTTTGAACGGTCCTGTGGCGCGAGGAAGCTGGCGGACAGTAACTGGGCGATGTTCTGGACTAACCTCGCGGCGGCGACCAATGAGCAGCTCATGAAGGACTATGAGGATGTTTGCAGGAACGTGGTGCCGTCGTGGGAGGACATGAAGCCTGCTGATTAGGAACAAAGCCGGTTCCACAATATGTAGATGGCGTGCCTCACTGCAGTAAGAAATGATACCTCTGACGGCATGGATTGTCCAATTTTATGTGAATGTCGACTTGATGAGCGAATGAAATGACGTCCAGCATGTTCCCTGGAATCTTCAGAAAGAGAAGCACTACTGAAGTGAATGACAATCCCCGTATCATCGAGAATATTCAGCCCGGTCTCCAATCTCCATTGTATATACCTCCGTACTCTTAACGTACCTACCATGAAAGTGCACCTGTACTGTACATAGGTACGTCTCGACGTCGCCGTTGCGATGGAACACCCCAGATTCGCCTATCCAGCCCCTGTTTCATAAGTTCCAATTCCCAGGAATCCGGGACATTCCCATTCGTGGTTCCTGCAAGCCACGATCCATCCATGCAGCTAGTGTAGACGTAACGTGGGTCAAGTAGCAGCCTCGTTATATCATTAAACTTCAATAGTACTCAAATCCATAATACGAAGTACCTGCTCGATAGTCACGGTTTGCAAACGCCGCCCTGAAAGCCATCTCGCATGTTTAGTGACACGTGAAATATCAAATGCTGACCTTATACGGAGGTATGACGCGTCATACTGACTGTAATGTCCAAGTGACGATGCGTGGGAGTCTTTGCCATGCTTTGCTCCTGGACAAAACTTACAAGAGTGCAGCGATAAAACGATATGACAACCATGAAAACTAACCTGGAAGCCCGTGAAGGTGCCCACAAAAAGCCCCATTGAGAGCGGTGTGGGGCACAGACCATGCGAGATTGGTGATAGCCAAGCGAGCCAGGGTGATAACTGATAACTTTCACGATCCTACGTTACTCAAATTGATTGTTTCTGGAAGGTTAGCCCGTGTTGAGTTTGAGCTTCTCCTTTGTCCCTCCGTTATTAGGGCTGCACAGAGGCCTGTCCCTCAGTGGCAAATGCACCGAGGCCCACCGTAGCTGCCTGATGCTGGCATCTTGACCGCCCATCTTTGACCGCTTTTCGAGCAGTCGTGTTCAACATTCCATCGCTGAGCTTTCCCTCTTTCTCTTGCCCACTCGTCATTGATGCCGAATGGATGTGGGGCTCGTCATTCCGTCGTTGTTTGCTGCCCAAGCAACAGATCTCTCTGCACCTTCCATCACAATCACGTAGTGTAGCTGCGTAAAACAACAGCTTCACTCACTTAAAAACCCCCAAAAGCGTACACCTGCCCTCTTTCCTGAATCACTATTTCTGGGCACGCCTCTCAAATCCTCTCCCTGCACCCTTTGTGGTCGGCCTCAACCATCAGATCGTGCTTTTCCTGATAAATACCAGCCTTTGCCGGTTTCAAACATAACAACATCCATATCCGACAGCGTTTCGACTGAAAGCTGAGTTCAAAGAAGCCTTCACTCTATTGCCTCTTTTCCACCTGCCGGTCTGCAAGCGATATATCATTTGGTTATAAAAGAAGCCCGGACCTAAGAATAATCCCTCCTGGCACTCTTCATTCCTTCCCTACGACGTGCGCCCACAACCTTCTCTTGAGTGCCATAGCCAACAACATCTAACTATCTCCCATAATGTCGGCCAATCGTGGTCGTGGCAGAGGTCGTGGCGGCAGGGGCGGCCAGGGCGGAGAGGCCTCTCGCGGTGGTGGTGGTGGTGGTGGAGGTGGAGGTCGCGGGCGCGGTGAGTTCCAAGGAGACCGTGGCCGGGGCGGCTTCCAAGGAGACCGCGGAGGTCGCGGCCGAGGCGACTTTCATGGTGATCGCGGAGGTCGTGGCCGCGGTGACTTTCAAGGCTATCGGGGCGGAAGGGGCCGAGGCGACTTCCCGGCCGATCGCGGCCGTGGTGGATTTCGGGGAGGCCGTGGTGGTGGGTATGGTGGTCCCGGCGGCGATGTCTATCAGTAAGTGGGCCGAGAATATGTTTCCGATCTACCTTAACGTCCTCATGTAGAGGTCAAGGCTCCGTTGTTCCGCAACCTGATCCGCAGGTCACGACGTTAGAAAATAACTGGATCCAACAACAAAATGCCCCCGCGGGCCAGCTCACTGCTCAGATGGCCACGCTCTCGGTTAAAGATAACTCTGGCTTCTTTCCCATTCGGCCTTCTTTTGGCACAGACGGAACTGAAGTCGTCCTTTGGGCGAACTATTTTAACCTAAAAGTCTCGGTCCGATCACTATTCAAGTACACGCTAAGAGTCACCGCTAAGAAGGTTACCAAGGCCCAAGACGATGAAAGAGAAAAGGCTCAGGGAGGGCAGAAGGGTGCCGATCTCAAAGAAGCCAAGGGCAAGAAGTTGCAAAAGATCATCCAGCAGGTCTTGGGTAAATTTCCCGCTACTCTCGCCTTGGCTACCGAGTTTAAAGCCAATCTTGTGTCTTCGGAGAAACTCAGCATCCCGCCGGATGGCGTCGTACAAGTGGATCTCGCCGAACCTGGCCGCAAGACCGCTGACAAGTGGTTCGTAAGGTTTGACGGACCTGAGTCATTGGACATTGGTGGCCTGTTGGGATACCTGAGGACGTTCGATGACCTAGGCTATGAGACAGTCTACCCCAGATTTTCCGCCGAGATCGATGCACTTGGCGTAGTGCTCGGCCATACGGCCCGAGCTGACTTCCAAAACACTTCGACGGTTGGACGGAATCGCTTCTTCGCGATTGATCCGGAGCGGATGGAGGCCGAAGCGCCGCAAGACAGCATTTTGGCAATCCTACGCGGTTACGTTCAGAGTGTCCGCCCTGCTACTGGTCGACTGCTGCTGAATGCAAACGTCACGCACGGCGTGTTCCGTGGGCCTGAATCAATAACCCTCGACTCGCTTTTCGAACGGCTCGGCCTCGTGGGCCTTGACAAACCGAACCCGCCCCGACAACTTGTCCTCAATCTCACAAGGATACACAAATTTCTTATGAGAGCGCCAATCCTCTGCAGACGTCCCGGCGACAAGCCAGGCGAATGGGTGATAATTGAGCGGTCAATTGCCGGTTTGGCTAGTGTTAAAGATGGGTCGAAGGAGAACCCCTTACAATTTACCCAGCACCAGATACCCTTTGGCAGCCCGACAACTGTCAAATTTCGTCTAAACAAACCCAGTACGGATATACAACCCCCGAAAGGCCTCCAATACGGCAGCATGATCGACACGGCGACATACTTCAGAGCCAAGTACGGTCTTGATGTCAAGAAAGGCTTGCCGCTGATTAATCTTGGAAACGCAAAAAATCCCAGATACGTGCCGGCGGAGTGGTGCAAGCTGGCCCGTAGGCAGCCCATCAAAGCGAAGCTCTCCCCGAGGGAACAGGATTCGATGATTAGATTCGCCTGCCGACCGCCTCCCAGTAATGCGCTTTCGATCACGACTTCGGCTAGGAAAGTGCTGGCTCTGGACAACAACCCTCTTCTAGACAAATTTGGTATTTCAGTTGGTACAGAGCTGATCACAGTCAAGGGCCGGGAGTTGTTGCCTCCTGCTGTTGCATATACTGGCGGCAATGTCACTCCAGAGAGAGGATCTTGGCTGATGAGGAATGTCAAGGTTGTGAAGCCTGGAGCAGTCAAGACTTGGTCATTCCTTCACCTTGGCGACCAGCACGACCATGCTGCAATCGTATCGACAGTGCAAAACTTCGCCGGCTTTTTGCGCAACAAGATGGGAATCAACTTTCCCACGCAACCAGTTCCGCAGACTGGCATTCTCACTGCGGCCCGGGAAGCTGACTTGAAGGTTGCGTTTGAGAAACTGAATAGACAGTCACCGCGGCCTGATTTTGTTCTTGTCGTTCTACCTGACAAAGATACACTGGTGTACAACTGCGTCAAGAAACTCGGAGATGTCTCACATGGTTTCCATACCGTCTGCGTCGTCAAAAAGAACTTTGTTGAGCAGAGGGGTCAGCAAGGATACTTTGCCAACGTTGGACTCAAGGTCAATCTGAAACTTGGCGGCGTTAACCATAGGCTACAACACGACAACGCGCTGATCAAGGCTGGGAAGACCATGTTCGTGGGGTACGACGTTACTCACCCTACGAACCTCGCCCCTGGAGTAGGGGAAGATGCACCCAGTCTTGTAGGCCTCGTAGCGAGCGTCGACAGCGACCTTGCGCAGTGGCCTGCAGTGGCGTGGAAGAACCAAAGCCGGGTTGAAATGCTCGATGCAAAGTTGGTCCAGCATTTCCAGGATCGGCTGAAACTTTGGCGAAACAAGAACCAAGGCCGGCTGCCGGAAAACATTGTCATCTTCCGCGACGGCGTATCGGAGGGTCAATACAGGTTGGTTCTGGAAAAAGAATTACCTTTTATCCGCACGGCCTGCAAGACGATGTATCCAGCGAACGCAAAGCAGCCGCGGATATCCCTGATTGTGTCTGTCAAGAGACATCAGACTCGCTTCTATCCCGCGGACAGGGAGCATATACATCCAAGATCCAAGAGCCCAAAGGAAGGCACGATTGTCGATCGAGGTGTAACGAGCGTACGGTACTGGGACTTTTTCTTGCAAGCCCACGCCTCTCTTCAGGGTAAGTCTCGCGGCATCTATGAAGCAAATATATGAGCTCTGCTGACACGTTCCTCAGGAACCGCTCGCCCGGCTCACTACTCGGTTCTGCTCGACGAGATCTTCCGAAGCGACTATGGCGCTGAGGCAGCCAATGTGCTGCAGAAGCTCACGCACGATATGTGCTATATCTATGGCCGCGCCACGAAAGCCGTCAGTATTTGCCCGCCGGCATACTACGCGGACTTGGTTTGCACGCGAGCCCGGGTCCATATGAACGAACTCTTTGACGACACGAGTACCGTTGCTTCGGGCAGTGCCCCGCAATCAACGGCCGACGGCAAGGTGCATCAGAAGCTCCAGCACACCATGTATTACATCTGATCGAATTGGTCGGGGTTGATAGTTTGGGTATGTGGCGGAATGGTTCCGATGGAACTGCAGCGGTTGGACAGCGAACAGGTCTTTCCTACAAGAATGGGTTGTGACATGGCTATTGTCCACTAGATTGATTGCGCAAAGGAGCGAGAACATCCTATCTAGGGAGATCGGGCGTGGGGGCAAAAGCTAGAGTTAGAGCGCAAAGCGATGAGCTTCTCCATCAGATAGCTATCCGTATCAATTACTTCTTAATGCGTGTGAGAGAAGAGAACTTCGATGCCAGGACTGTAACGCCTACTGGGATACTGGTAACTGAATAAGGTACCTTACGTCCTCGGTTGGTTTGCGGACGAGCATGTCGAGAAGAGGTTGAACTAACCTTGTTAGCGTATATCCAACCTGGGTTGTGTTTAAGCCCTACCGGCCCGAGAAGTGTTTATCGGTCAGCACACCTCATTCCCTGGCCTACCTGTGGCAGGTCGCACGAATGTAAGGTATTTGTAGATGGTGCCGTTGACAGTTGACACAGGCCAACGTCAGGGTCTGACTAGTATACCCTAACCCTCAATGTGTTGGGTCTTGGGCTCATCACGTGAACGAGGTTGGATGTGGGTCTTTCAACACAACCAATCAATCCCGAACGAACGCTCAGCTGGAGCTCGATGACTGATGAGAGCCGCCGACCGGCCGTCATTACAAACCAACATCACTCGGCCCAGTCCACGCCGCCACTCCCCTCTCCACTCCGCTGTATACAACTTCTCTGTCCCGGACACTCAAAGAACCACCGGGACCTACCCGCTCAAACCAAAGTCGACTGAAACGGCGCCAGACGCCCATCGGAATCGAGTTCGCGACAAGGCCTCAATTGAGGGATAAACCGAATCATGTCGGCCCTCCTCCGCTCGGGCGGCGTCGCTCGCGCGGCAGTTGCTGCTCGCGCCGCCACTACCAGCACCAGCAATGCTAGCAATTCTACGGCTATGATGACATTATCAGCACCGCCTGCGCACCGCCTCCGAGCAGCAGCAGCAACCTTCTCAACGACGGCGCGCCGTGAGGGCGGCGGCGGCATGCAGTATGACCCGCCGTCGGGCTGGCTGTGGGGCGTCAAACCGGGCGAGAAGTACCAGAACGAAGGGTGGGAAGGCCCCTTCTTCTACGGCTTCTGGGGCAGTATTATTGTTTTTGCCATTGCGTATGCGTTCAAGCCGGATACTTCGTGAGTTATTCACTCCCTTTTCTTGTCCTGTCACGTTGTTTTGTGCATTCACATTCCTCTTTGCGTTGTCAACAACCTCTGCTGTATTTATCCACATTTCCCGAGTCATCTTTCTGAGTCACCGCAAACTGGGCTGACATGAGTTTGTTTGGTAACAGCATCCAAACGTGGGCTTTGGAGGAGGCGCGCAGGAGATTAGAAATTGAGGGGATCCTCGAGGATCCGGAGAAGAAGTAAGGCTTGGGATGGGCAGGAGGTATTGATGAATGAGTGGATATCCATTGGCCGGGTGTGTCTGGCTGATAGATGGTATATGGTAGGCCGTGAAAGATGGGAAGAGGCGGTATCTAGACAGGGCAAGTTCGCTGAACTCAGTCGGTCAGGCGGTCAGTTGGACGCCTGGACACCTATCACTACTGCGTACACTCGGAACGGATAGATGTACATGATTTGCTTTGTTGATCTCTTTCTGTTTCTGTTTCTGTATTCTCGGTGTGAACCGGCAATAGTTTCTGAAAAGCTGACACGGATAGACAGGCGTGGCTCCCACATGGTGGCTTTCGAGGCTGACCACTCTTCTCAATTGAGGATATCGACGCTATGAAACCCATTGACGGCACTTTCTGGCCGTGCTGGCTTCCGACTCAAAGGCCGCCTAGATCGCCTATGTCCGTTCGCAATGCTAGCTATATACAGAATCTAAACATCCCCAGACCGCCCTAACAGATGTAGCTCCATTCGTGCTCGTCATCGCCATATTGCCGCGCCTCAATCCAGTTCTTCATTTTTGTGGCGATCTCGCCCGACTCCTCGTGGTCTTTCAACCCGCAGTGCACGAGCTTGCCCTTCCAGCTGATGGTGCGCACGGGGCTCACAATGGCTGCCGTGCCAGCGCCGAATGCCTCAATGAGTCGGCCTTCGCTGGCCGCCTCGTCCAGCTCCTTCATGGTATACTTGCGCTCCACCACATTCCAGCCCTCCGGGGCGAGCCTCTCGCGGGCAAGCGAGAGCACCGAGTCGCGCGTGACGCCCTCAAGAATAGTGCCGTCGAGCGGCGCGGTGATCAACTCCTTTTGGCCTGTCTGCTTATTCTTCATGGCGACGAAGAAGTTCATGGTTCCGACCTCAGTCACGTACTGCTCTTCACCAAAGAGCCACAGGTTCTGCTGGAAGCCGCGGCTCATGGCCTCGCGCTGAGGCACGATGCACGGTGCATAGTTGGCGCCCAACTTCTTGTCGCCCACACCGCCCGGCCATGCGCGCACAGCATAATCGGTGGCCTCGAGAGAAACGGCCTTGAATCCTGTCGGGTAATAAGGCCCCACGGGCGAGGCGATGACGAAAAGCAGAGCAGATCCGGGCGGGTTAACTCCTAGTGTCTTCTGCGTACCGATCATAGTCGGGCGCAGGTATAGAGAGTAGCCCCGTTCTTGAGGAATAAAGCGGCTCTCAAGTTTGGCGAATTGGGCGATCAGGTCGATGAGGGCGGTCGAGCTGAAGTTAGGGAGGGCAATGCGTGCGGCGGACTTGTTGAAGCGCTCCATATTCTTCTCCGGTCGGAACAAGCGAATCTGGCCCGCCTTGTCCTTGTACGCCTTCATACCCTCAAAGCACTCAAATGCGTAGTGGAACACACAGGTGGCGGGATCGAGTGACAGGTTCTGGTAGGGCACGATATGAGGTTTTTGCCAGCCAGTGGTCTTGTTCCACTCGATAGTGAGCATATGGTCTGAAGGTCGAAGGGTAAGCGTGATGTCTCACTTTGCAGGCCTTGAAGAGTGTTACCGGTGAAATTGCGGCCAAAGACCAGGTCCTCAGACTTCTTGAGCGGTTGTGGCTTCCTTGATCTCTGCACAACGAGCTGGCTTGGGTCAATGTCCTGCAGTTTGGTCTCCGACGCGGCCTCTGGGGTGACGCTGTATTGCCGGATAGTTTGCAACAAGCTCAGCGGTGAGCGCCGCACACCACCTATCGCGGCTCGAGGAGCGCATCGAGGAAAGAGTTGCCGCATCATCTTTGCGGTTGCTTGGCGGGTTGTGCAACTAGACGTCGATTGAAATATGGAATTGGGGTCCTATTGTGTGTTGCGAAGACGAAAGGATCCGCCGATGGAAAGACTTGGGAATTCACAACCAAGAAGACTGGGAAGGCAGTGAAATATGAAGCAGGAAGGAGCGAAGACTCACACCATGCTCAGTGTTAATGCGGAAAGGAAAGCGACCTTACAAAATCTCGGAGTCTTATCGGAGCTGGCGCATTAGTGTAGGCGCGCCGTTAGCGCGACCTGGGGATCAGGGTGCATGTAATTAACGTTATCTGTATCCGTATCTGACACTGCTGATATTTCAGAGTACCGGAATTTACTGTACAGTACAGTACCTTCATTCGATGCAGCAACCAACATCCATAACCGTTAGTGACCAACTGCTGAGCCACTGAAACAAGCCTTATCCCTTAAGGCCCTGCCGCAGGCCTTTGACGACCGCAAAGATGGAAGTCTTCTTTTAGACGGGAATGCTTCACTTCCAGGGACAACACAGCACCGAGAACACCAAGACGGCTATGATTGCAATTGCGCCCATCCATCCCGGGTGATCCAAAGCCATCGACATGTTCGCCAACGCGCTCAAGTCGATTTCTGCCACCAATATCTCGGCCAACTACACCATTTCGCCCAACCTCACTTCGATCGCAGGCCCCTGGAAGATCTACCCGGCCAAGAACAAGAAGACAGGCAAGGAATGCTCCGTCTTTGTCTTTGAGCGAAAATCGCTCGATGCCCACAGCAGTAGCGTGGGCCGGTCCGGCGCCGCCGCATACAAGAAGACGGTCGACGAGGTAATCGAGCGGCTCAAGAAGGAGGCCTCGGCTCTTGCTCGGTTGCGGCACCCGAGCATCCTGGAGCTTGTGGAACCGGTCGAGGAAACGCGCGGTGGTGGGTTGCAGTTCGTCGCCGAGGCAGTCACGGCCTCGCTCTCTGGCCTCCTGCAAGAGAAGGACGATCGGGAAAGGGGCGGCGGCGTCGGCGGCCGGGCGAGTCGCTATGTGACTGAGGATGCTGATGGAACCCGGCGGAGGCGGGAGTTGGAGATTGACGAACTTGAGATACAGAAGGGCCTGTTACAAGTGAGCAAGGCGCTCGAGTTCTTGCATGAGAACGCTGGGCTCGTTCATTGCAACCTGACGCCAGACGCCATCCTTGTCAATGCTAAGGCAGGTTATGCTCCCGCCATATTGCTCCGGTTGGGCAGAGCTGACTAACTTTCGGGCAGTCGGACTGGAAGCTGAGCGGTCTCGCCTTCTGTAGCCCGCCCGAGCCCTCGACTACTCGGACGTCGATTCAGCCAATTAGCCTCTCCGAAGTTTTGAATCCCGATCCCAGACTCCCGAAGTCGGTCCAGTTGAATCTAGACTACACGTCTCCCGATTTCGTCCTGGACAAGAACTTGACGCCGTCAGCAGACATGTTTAGCCTCGGCATTCTTTGCGTGTCCTTGTATAATTCTCCGCACAAATCGCCGCTGGAATGCAACGCCAGCCTGTCTGCCTATAAGCGCTTCTTCCAGTCCTCGCAAAGCATCCCTACATCGACCAACAACTTCCTCTCGTCGCGCCCGCTGCCCAAAGATCTCGCCAGTCATGTGCTTCCCAGGCTCATCACGCGCCGGCCGGCGCAACGTATGACGGCCAGAGAGTTTCAGCAAAGCGAATTCTTTGACAACATCCTCGTGTCGACCATCCGTTTCCTCGACACCTTCCCCGCCAAGACGCCTAACGAAAAGTCGCAGTTTCTCAGGGGGCTTATCAAAGTGCTGCCGTCGTTCCCTAAATCCGTCATGGAGAAAAAACTACTTCCAGCCTTGCTCGAAGAGCTGAAGGATAAGGAGCTCATATCTCTGATTCTGCACAACGTCTTCAAAATCATCGAACTCCTGCCGTCGGGGAAGAGAGCATTTGGCGACAAAGTGCGGCCTAGCTTAAAGGAAATCTTCGTGACCAACGCAAAACAGTCCCAAGAGAAAGACCCAGCGCGCGATGCTGGCTTGATGATTTTCATTGAACAGCTCCCCGTAATTGGGGACAACTGCCCCGGCAAGGAGTTCAAGGATGGCGAGTACCAATACCGTTTGTTGGGTGCAGACAGAATAGCTAACGCCGTGTCTAGATATTCTACCCATTATCTTCAATGCCCTGGAGTCCCAGACCCCTTCTCTCGTAGATGCGGCGCTAAGAAGTATCCCAACCATTTTGCCTATGCTAGATTTCAGCACCATAAAAAACGAGTTATTTCCGGTAATCGCAGCCATCTTCAGCAAAACCAGTAGTCTCGCCATCAAAGTCAGGGGCCTACAAGCCTTTGTCACACTATGCGGAGGCTCCAACGATCCAGGGGCTGATGACGGGCTCGACGGGCTTGGGCCGCAAAAGAGGAAGGCCACGTCGTCCACTGCGCTGGATAAGTACACCATGCAAGAAAAAATCGTACCACTGATTAAGGCGATCAAAACGAAAGAGCCGGCTGTCATGATGGCGGCACTCAATGTTCTTCAAGTTGTTGGCAAGGTTGCCGATGCCGATTTTGTGGCCATGGATATTCTCCCCATCCTCTGGACCATGAGTCTCGGTCCTCTTCTGGATCTCAAGCAGTTTCAACAGTTCATGGAACTCATCAAGAGCCTTTCAAACAGGGTTGAAGAGGAGCAAACGAAGAAGTTGCAAGAGCTGTCGGGTGCCCACCCTTCACCTGCCGTCAAAGACGATTTCATGTCGTTCGGTGCTCTCGGTGGTACCTCGCTCGAGGCAAACGGGGCCAGCGAAACAGACTTTGAGCAGCTGGTTAAAGGACGATCCGGCGGTGCGACTGGCAATGCCATGGACTCTTCTGGATGGGACACCATGGCGTCAAGCTCAAGCGTCAACTCTCCTTCTTCGAATACCAGGACTTCCACCCCTACCGCCACCTTCTCATGGTCCACACCTCCCGCGGCCTCACACACGGGCGCGACAAATCAATTCGGCGCAGTCAAAGCCCAACAGCCGGGTGCCTTCAGAACTGTCACGCCCGATTTGGCACAATTCCAGCCTATCGTTCCGACCGCCACGCAGTTCTCTAATCCCCTGCAGCCGACGCCGAAGCCTGCCGGCAGCAGCACGTCGCCAAGCCCGCAAGCGACGACAACATCGACCTCTATCAACTGGGGTGCTACAGCCAATAGTAACAACGGCAACAACCTGTGGTCATTACCCTCGCACGCCGCATCAACACCACAGCCATCGGCGTTCAGCTCACTATCCCTAGGCCAAGCACAACAACAACAGCAGCAGCAGCAGCAGCAACAGCTCCAGAACCGGACAAGTTCCTTCTCGCTCCCCCCACCGCCCGGCGCGGGTGCTATGGGCTCGTCGGCGGGGCTATCAGGCTTCAGCCTTGCGCCGCCTCCTAGCGGGCCTGGCGCCGGGATAAGAAATAATAGCGGCCTAAACGGCCTGAGCAGCGGTAGTTTGGCCCAGTCAAGTATCAGTACTAGGATAGGCTCGCCGCTCGGGATGGGCACAGGCACAGGCACAGGCACGGGCATGGGCATGGGCAATGGCGCAAGTATGAACAGCATGATGAGTATGAGCATGAACAGCATGAGTGGCATGGGTGGTCAGCACGCGCAGAAGAGTCAAGGTCAGGGCCAAGGCCAAAAGTCGGGTCTGGACAAGTACGAGAGTTTATTGTAACTCTCATGTCTTGTTGCTTGCTTGATGGGTTCATAGAACGATGAAAACTGGACGGGGTCTGGTTACTGCTGGGGTTGAACGTATGTACATGGTAACATGGGTAAGAAAACTGCTGGTGGGGACGGATATCTTCATACATAGTCATAGCAGGGCATGAACGGGGTTCGGCTGGCTGCGATGGCGTAGGAGCGAGCGAGTTTATTGAAATCTAGCGATCGTGTCTCTCTGTCTGTTCCAGCGCATGGGGGTTCGCAAATGCAGAATTCACGGTTTGCGAATCATGCGTAGGTGCTCCGTCCCGTGTCGGGTGATAGTGCCTTCAGTCAAACGATACTCAATGGGAGCTGCCAACTCATCTATCGCACCAATACACACACAAAGAGCAAAGCCATTGCCATATCCCTCGTATTCTACTCTACATCTAACGCTACGCTTCCTCGTTGCATCAAAATATCCCCTTGACTCATTGAAGCCATAAGTGAGAATTTCTCCGCACAGTTCCGCTGACCTGCGCAGCCAGGGCTCGTCACAACTTTGTCCTTAGTTTTTACTCCCGGTAACAACTGGGGAAAGGTGGAGGGCTGGGGGGGGGCGGAGTTACACCTGGAGGTCATACCTACCGACGTCAACAAATCGTAGGGCTCCTCGCCCGTCTCCTCAAAGAACCCAGCGGAAAAATAACAGGCCGTAAGGGCCATCCCTCAACAGTGCAAGCAACCGAGCTCCCAGGTAGCAAATCCCATACTCCCTCCCTTGGGTGACTTACAAGGTTTGGTGTACAGAGAGGAACAGGGAGAAAAAGGAGGTAAAGGAGGACCAAACAGGGTATCATATCTCTTGAGAAAGGGAAAGAAGGGCGGAGGAAATGGGGAAGAAGAGAGGGAACAGAGAAAATAAGAAAAGGGGAAAGAAGAAAGCAAGGGAAACAGATGAAGAACACAAAGCCATCTTTCAACTCCAATCTCAAGCCGGCTTTTTCCTTCTCCCCTCTTTCTCCTTTTCCTTTTCCTCTCCCCCCTTCCCATTTTCTTTCTCACCCTTCACCTCCGTCTCCGTCTCCAGCTTCTCCCTTTCCTCCTCCGCCGGCGGTGGGGGGTACACCTGAGAGAACAGATGTCTGCTAGCGAACCCCTCAGCAAGTGTCGTCTCAACGACCTGCCCCTCAGGAATCATCTCATGTTCCAATTCCCACCCGGCGCGGCGGCACAGCTCGGCCACGACCACGTCGCAGTCGCCAAGCAAGTCAATGTCAAAATTGACGTGTGACACCGGGGTGCGGCTGATGTAGATCTGGGGGATGTGGGGCGGCAAAAAGGGCACCACCTCGGACACGGGCGCCACTTTCAGGCTCGTGCCAATGACGATGACCAGGTCCACCAGGTCCCGGTCGTGCTCCGTCAGCCGCTTGGAGAACTCGTCGGGAAGCTGCTCCCCGAAGAAGGTGATGTCGGGCTTCATGACGCCGCAGGAGCCGTTGATTATGTCGTTGTTGGAGTTGGAGTTGTTGGAGGGATGGTCAAACTCCGAGTCTGAATTGCTGTCGTAGTCTCCCGGGCGGCGGCGCACCTTCTTTTCCGAGCCGTCCTTGTGCACCTTGCGCTTGCGGCTGCTGTTGTTGGTTGTGCGGCTGCCCTGAGCGCACTTGCGGCAGCGGGGGATCTCGCCGGCGCGGATCTCGGGAAAGAGGGTCTCACCAACCACCTTGTAGCCGCACTTGACGCACGACGCCGTGGCGAACGAGCCGTGGCACTGCACCAGCTTCTCGGGCCGGATGCCGGCCTTGGCCTCGAGGTTGTCAATGTTTTGCGAGTAGTTGGTCAGCAGCTTGCCCTTCTCCTGCAGCAGCGCGATGAAGGCGTGCGTGGGCGAGAAGCGCTCCGTGCTGGGCAGGATGTCGCGCGCTACAGAGTAGAAGATGGTGGGATCCTGGCGAAACACGTTGATGTCAAAGACCTCTTGCGGGTCGCTAAGACCCAGGTGCTCCAACTTGGAGTAAAGACCGGTGCCCTTGGAGCGGAAGTCGGGGATGCCGAGCGAGGTTGAGATGCCGGCTCCGGTCAGGACGATGATGTTCTTGGACTTGTGGAGGAGGTCCACTGCATCGTCGATCGTGTTGTACTTGAGAAGCTTGGCCCGCTTGGACAGCTCACGGCTAATGGCAAGACTGAGCAGGCCATAGTACGCCTCGTCGTCGGCGCCCTCTAGGAACGCAGGGGGACGGATGCCAAAGGCCGTGAGGAGCTTCTTGGCCGTAATGAGGCCGGCCTCAACGCTCCTCTGGCAGAACACCTCAGGACCTACGGCCCGCAGGAGCTGGCGATACTTGATGGCCTCGTCTGGAGTGCAAGCCTCTGGATCTGCAGGATGTGTCAGACCGAGATCCAGGAGAAGACGCTAATAAGGGATGAAGGGTTACCATCGGTGAAGAACCTGTCCTCGGCCAGGTCCTCCAATGCATCCTCAAAGAGAGACTCAGTTTCCCAGGACTCGCCAAGGTCGTTGACGCGCTCCTCGAGCTCAATCAAACCCTGATTTGGAACAGCGGGCGGGTCATCTTCTTCATTCAAGTCTACGAGATGTCGCTTCTCATCGTAGTCAACTACATTCTTGGTTCGGTTACTAGTCTTTCTAGTAGTGGTGGTGCCATTGCTTGTTGCGCCAGTCTTGGACGTGGCGCGACGCGATGAATCCATTGTGTCTTTGCCGAGTCGCCCAGGTTGTTGAGTCGGGCTTTGGGTTAGGGTAGTTGTCTCTTGTGTTTCAGAAGACGAAGGAGAAGAGAAAGAGAGAATGATGAAGCGATCCAAAGAGAGCGAGAGATGACGCGCCAATGAGAGACAAACAGGACAAACACCAGGCAGCCGGCGGAATGCAGGCACAGACAACCTCCGAGTGTTGATGCAAGCTCAAGGAATTGGCTGCGGTGCTATCTGTACTGGGTTGAGGAATTCAAATGAGAGCGAGTAAAATGCGGAGGAAGATACGGATAGAGAGGGTGAAACGGCCTTGGCAAGTGAGTGGCAATGTGAAATGGGGACAATTACGGACTAGGCACCGGCAGATTTTGGCTCTCTGTTAGTTGACGTTAACTAACTGCAGTAGCTATCGCGGGACTCGCATCAGGTCGAACCACGGCAGTACAGTACGTGGCCTGGGAGAGGGAGAGCATGGGGCGGCCGGGAAGGAGCCTAAACTATCACAGGCCGTTTCGTACAGTCGGTCTAAGTTAGGCTAAGTCACTGCTGCCTGAGATATTTCCGGTGCTTCTTTCTGTAACCTCCGCTAGAGTAGCGCAGTCCATCAACTGCAAACCTAACTACGAAGGTACAGGCTCTGAAGAAGAGTCATGGGAACTGTTGAGACTTCCAAACTTTGAATCAGCATCACCACACAGTAATTGGTCTCTTTGTTAAACAAGTCAACTGATTTAGCCAAGTAAAGCAAGTAATCACAGGGAGCTGCATCCAACAACAACTAATCCGTCCTAGGTCTTACACACATATGCTCTCCATTAGACCAACTGCTGGTTTTGTCTCGGTCATTCATTGAGGTGTTGGCCTGATGGCGCTCGTCTGCCTATCTGTCAAGCTAGTCTTGTACCTTGAGAAAGGCATCACCTAGAAGGACCTGCACTCCGTGAGGGGGACATGCATATTAGAGACGATAGAAGCCTTTTCAATTGCTGATGAGCCTGCCGCTTTGAACGTAATTTGTTTGAATGCGAAAGATGATGCTGCAGAGCTGCTGCTCAAAACGTCCCTTGGAGGGGTTTTACTTCCCTGACAAAACGAAATAGGGAAAAGAGAGAAGAAAAAAGCTGGCCTTGGATACAAAGACAAAGAGAAACAGCAGCCAAGATATATCTATGTGTATATATATCTGAACAAAATACCGCCCGCTCCCCAAATGCTTCCCGATCCTCGCCGGCAAGCTGGCCGCCATTTGCCGCGCCGGCTCATGTGTTTGCCCCCACCCCAATGTGATGGTTTGTACACTATTATACAAATGCACAATGTACTGGTATGGCGCGCCTGGACCGTCACCATACCGCGGCCTGATCACGAGAGGCCGCACGCAGTCCGTGAGAAGTATGAGCAGATGAGGGACTTTCAGAATGTCCAGGACCTGCCTAAGCGTATCTTCTCCGCGGCGCGTGGCCTGGCTCGGTCGGCTGGTCTTTGCAGCTGACCTTGAAATCCACGGCGAGTCCACACCTCACGGCATATAGTCTGCCTTGGACTTCAAGTGGGCAGATTGTCGGGCATCACTGCTCATCAGCGCTCCCGCCAATGCCGCAAATCAGGGGGTAGGGGTAGAAGGCGACTTTGGCGGCTTGGGAACGCTGAGAATCGGAACATCTTGAGTGTTGGGGCGTACATCCTCGCCCATCTCCATGGGCTCGTCTGACAGAACTTGCCCGCCGAGGACTGATTGGCTTGCAGAGGCCTGGCCATCGTTCCGCGAATGCTCCCGAGACATGGACGGCCTGGGGAACGCGTTGAAATCCGAGTCACCTCGTCGCTCAATCGGGGACCATCCGGCGCCGATGCTGCCTGCCACAATTCCCGTCATGACCGTGGCGGCGCCGAGAGCGCTGTTCGATCGCGACCGCGTGCTCCTGCTCCGCCGCCGTGAATCGGGAGTGGGCGCAACCGAGCCATAACTGTCCTCCCGAGTGGGCGTCTGCGGAACGTGGATTGAACCCGACCGTGAATGCTGCCTGCTGGGTACAGGGCTCTTCTTCGGCAGGAAGGTCTCCCGAGGGTGTTGCATGGCAAACTTGAGGTTATTAAGGCGACCGCCCTTGACGCGCTTGAGCCAAGCCAACTCGTCCCGAACTTCGGCAAGGGCTGCTGGATACGAAATCTGCTCCTCGTCGTCGGAGATGGTAAGACCAGGAACTTTAGAGTTCCTCCGTTTGAGGGATTCAGGAATAAGCGCCAGCAGCAGTTCGTCGGGAATCAGGCGAATGATAACTCCAACAGGAATGGATATGGCACCTAGAACAATAGCGATACCCCACATCTCCGGCGTCTGGCCCTCAGGCGGGATGCGGAACGCCGTGCCACCGACCATGACAATGAGAACCTGACCGCCGCACATGATGGCACTGATGCCGATGAAGTAGGGGTTCTTCAACATGCCCTCGAATATGTTGAATTTGTTATCCAGTCGTCGGTTGCTGTACAGCGTTAGTGAACGAAGGTACCCACGCAACCGGCAATTTCGCATGTCTGCACTTACTTCCACTGGTTGAAAATCTGCATCCACACAAATGTGTTGAAAACCAACGTATGGATCTGCCCTGTTGTTATGCTATCGGGTCCCGGAAGGACGTAGACGCCGCCAAAGTAGATCAGGAACGTAATCAACAGCTGATATACCGCTTGCCCGAGGATCATCTTCCACATGGTTACCGAGATGATAGAAGAGCCCTTGCGCTCAGGCTTGCGATCCAGCACGCTATCTTGCGGGGGATCTGTCGCCAGGGCAAGTGCGGCCAGCGTGTCCATGATGAGATTGACCCACAGGAGCTGGACAGCAGTCAGGACAGCCGTCTGATCTTCGCTCTGCACGGCCGATACGAACGTCAGGACCACGGCTGTGACGTTAACGGTGAGCTGGAACTGAAGGAAGCGCTTGACCGCGTCGTTGACGGCGCGGCCCCATTTCAGTGCCTTGACGATCGAGTTAAAGTTGTCGTCCATGAGGATAATGGCCGAGGCTTCTTTCGCAACTTCGGTCCCTGCAATGCCCATTGAGAAGCCAATGTCGGCCATCTTCAGGGCCGGAGCATCGTTGGTACCGTCGCCAGTAACGGCAACCGTTTCGCCCTTGTCCTTGAGACGCTTTACCAGGATGCGCTTGTCCTCAGGGCTGGACCGTGCCAGAACATGCAGTCGCGGGATAATTTCCTCCTGCTCGGCCTTGGTCATGTTCCTGAACACTGGGCCCTCGAGCACAACGCTGTTGGGTTGCAGAATACCACAGTCCCGGGCAATCGCCTCGGCGGTCAGTTTGTTATCGCCGGTAACCATGCGAACCACAACACCGGCTTTTTGACAGCTCCTGACGGCCTCAGGAACACCCGGGCGAAGGGGATCCTTGATACCAACCATAGCGATGAAGGTCATATTTCGGCAGATGTCCTCAAAGACAATCTCATCCTTCTCGGTACCAGCGCGGCGGGAAGGCTTGGGCGGCCACCGATCAAAGTCCCGATAGATGAGGCCGATAGTCCGTAGCGAGTTTCGCGCGTAGGTTTCGATCAGCTTCTTAATGGTCTCGCGGTTGTCCTCATTCAAAGTCGCAGACGCTAGCCCGCTGGAGGGGTCGCGCAGAATCTGGGTGCACTTGTCTAGCATTATCTCGGAGGCGCCCTTGACGTACAACCTTGCTTTGCCATTGTCCAGTTGGACGACCACACCCATGCACTTACGCCCCGAATCAAAGGGGATCAAGTGCAGGGTTTTGGCGTTGGCTCGTTCTTCAGCGATAGGCCCCATCGCCAAATGTTCCCTGGCGAGAATGAGCAAGGCAGTCTCCGTCTTGGAACCGATAAAAACCTGGTCTCCACTACCATCGCCTTCGAATGCGGTCGAGTTGAGCGAGATGGACTTCAGCACCAACTCCTTAACCTCGGGACTGAGAGACTTGACGACTTCGGCAATTCCGACTTCCTTTTCCGTATGCCCTTGCGCGTCCGGGGGTGTCGTGGTGCCGAACCGATGGCTCGTGCCAATGGTTCCCGCCACAACCTGCATTTTATTTTGGGTTAAAGTGCCCGTCTTGTCTGAACAAATCGTAGTTGCATTCCCCATCACTTCACAGGCCTTGAGGTGACGGACCAAATTGTTGTCCTTGATCATCCGAGTAGTGGCGAAAGCGAGAGCCAGAGTGACAGCAAGCGGGAGACCCTCCGGGATCGCGACAACCACGATGGTCACAACAACGATGAAGATTTCGATGAAACGCTGCCCCTTTTCGGCTGGTTCGAGGTTGACGTACTGTCTCGGGAGTCGAACAAGGAAGATGATGAACAGGACAAGGAACAGAAGTAGAGCGACGGCGCCACCAATTTTGGCGATGTATTCGGCGATGACGTTCAGCTTGGATTGCAGAGGGGTAATTTCGGGATCCTCGTTGAGCGACATCATGGTCTTGCCGTAGCTCGAATACACGCCTGTGGAGGTGACCATGAAAGTTCCCACGCCCTCCATCACACGTGCGCCGGACTGAATGAAGGGATCCATCTTCTTGAGACTCTCACGGTTCTCAATGGCAGCGAAGACTTCGTCGGCAGGGCGTTTTCGAATGATATCGGATTCTCCGGTTGCCTGTGACTCATCACATTTTACATTGAAGCCTTCTATGAGGATGCCGTCAACCGGGATCAAGTCGCCAGGTTCAAGGTGCACGACATCACCGACCAGGATATCGAAAACGGAAAGCTCGATTGTCTTTCCCGATCGAATCACCCTGACCACACGGTCTTGCTTCTTCCTGTTCAGCTTGGCAAACTGACGCTCCTTCTGATAGTCGTTGAGAGAACCGGCCAGAACCACAATGACAATGGCTGCGATAATGGCGACGCCTTCAATCCACTCGACGCCCGGGTTCGTGGCATCGTGCTCCTCGACACCAAAAGTCTGATACAGGCCAACAGCGAGCGAAATGAGCGCGGCGACGGACAGCAGGATCAGAACCTTGTCGTTGTAAGTGATCCACATGAGTTGTAGAAGGCTTTTCCCCTTCTTCTCTGGAAGTCGGTTGTCTCGAAAGACGCGCTTCCTTGACGAGAAGGGGGCTGTTGAAGGATCATGCCGATTCGAGCTTGTGTCCTGCGTGTCGCTTCTCGCGAGCGGTTTGCCGGCGCCTTCGGTCAAAGCCTTGTCAGAGCCACGGGAGGTAACCTCTTCGAAGGAAACCGATCCAGCAAGCGAGGTCTCGTCGAGACTTAGGCCCGTCGTTCGGTTAGTGCGCAACCCCTTCTCAATCCCCGCAAGTCCTCCCAGTTTGTAAAAGGCGGCCAAGCTTTTTGGGTCGAACATCTTGTTGAGCATGCCGGGGCTGAAGGCAAACGGGTTATTTTCAACCTTGAAGTCATCTTCCTTTCCGAGGTCTGGTTTGAGCGCGTTCTCGTCGTTCATAATTTGCTCACATTCGGAGGTGTCCCCAAAAGAAGGGCTCATTTTCTCGCCGGTAGACGAGCCAGCGACAACCGTGTCCCCCTGAGAAGAGGTAATAGATCGCGCGTCGTCAACGGAGTTCAGCGAATCCTGGCGGGTTCGGGTATTGGGGACGGACAGAAAGCCTTGGCTAGGGCCGTTTCCCCGGAACGTAAATGGGCTGGACACATTGTGAGGGCTGGTTGGCCGGCTGTCCCTGCTCTCTGAGGTCCTTAGAGTTTGGGCCTCAGGGCGCGACTGCGAAAGGCTACGCTTGTGCGAGCTCGCAGTCGGATCAGTCGGGCTTGTCATTGATATGGGCGAGTTAGAAACGGCTTGTGAAGCACCTTCGGCATCCGGCTCAGGAGCCGGGCTCGGGCCCACTGCCGTGGTATCAATGGTGATGGTAGGCCTACAAGACATTGTCAGGACTCTCTGATTCTAGTAACAAGTGCTACAGCAAGGGCGAGAGCATCCAAATACATACGCTCTGGCTCTCCGCGCGGGCGCAGGGCCTCCTTCTTCGTGGGAACTTTGGCCCGCCATGGCGAGTTGGAAAGGCAGCCCGCGTCAGCGAAAAAGGCTCAGCCCACGCGGGGCGACAAAGCTGTAAATGAAAACGATTGGGGCGGCGATGGAGGCAAATGCAGCTGATGTCGTTGATGGCGATTCCGGGCCTAGCGCGCCGAGTCGTAGCCTCGCTGGTTTGCTGGGTACGTATAGGGTCGTTCTGCCTTGTCCAGCCACGCTCGGTCGACGCGGCAAGTCTCAGTCGCGAAGGCTTATTAGTATTTGCGAGGTTGCCCGATCTCGGGTGTCGGGTCAGAATGTCGAGGGGGGCCGGTGAAGACTATCAAAATGCCCATCAACCACAAGCGTCGGCCCAACTCAAACCTGGAGGGAACCTAGCTCTGGTTTCTCGCCGAACTGAGTGTGTAGAAGGGAATTGTGAGTATTAGGTACGGAGTACTTCAAGTACAGTAGGAAGCAGGATTGGGCGGGTGTGAGCAGCTGCTACAAGTCAGCAGGATAGACAAGGCGCAGTTATAGTGCATGCCGCGAGCCCAACATCACTCCAGTTGCAACAAACGTGATGCAACATCCCTAGCTGGGTGAAAGAGAGGAGAGAAAGGGAAAAATGTCAACCTCGGAGTGATGCGAACACCGCGAACATGGGAGCAGCAAAGCCAGCAAACCTCCCGTCGTCTCCTTGCCAAGTTGTGGCCCATGCCAGTAAATGAGGCAGTGCTAACGCCAAGCGAATTAAAATCAAGAGATTTTCGCAGTGTTACTGTGACCTCCACTGCCTCCACTCGACAGGGATATCCATCTCAAGTTAAGTTTCCTATTCCACCCTTGTGCTTGGTTGCGGTTAACATGTCCTTGATGCTCTTCAGATGGCAATGCATTCTGGATGTGGCCAGTGGCCACCCTATCTTTTTCTGGTAATCTGGACTTTGATGCAGAGTATGGCCTTCTAGAAAACAATCCCATTGTGGTAAGTTGAAAAAGGCGTGTTTGTTGGGTTACACAAGATGTGAGCATATCACGGTGCAGATCGCGATTAAGTACCTTACTCCGTACTACTGCCCAGGCACGACGTTTAAGAGTACTGACAAGGGACTTCCTCTACTACAGGTATGTACTCTGCAGCCAAGTACCTAGTAGTACCTCGTTATCTCTAAGAGGCTAGCGTTATTGCACACGGGCTGACCAGCAAACAAATAGGGCGAGAACCCGTGCAACTTGCCCCTTTCCGGAAGGAAAAAAAATGTGTACCTTTGCTGTGCCGGCTTTATGCAGCAGCCACCCGCGGACCCCACGATACCCGGAAGTAACATTTCAACATTCCTGAGCAACCGATAACCTTGGAATGCCATCAGTTTCGCTTTGGAGACTGGACTTTCGTGTCCCCTACAATGTGTACATACATTGCTGTAGACTAATGTCCATTTATCTTTTGGGATGATCTTCTCGCCCTGACCTGTAGATTATGATCCCCAGGGCTAGGTACCACGACTAATGAATAAGGTATCTAGCCTATTTGGATCTGAGGAAATGGTGTGGCACAAAGCACGGCCCAGATCCAGCTCTGCATGCACAGCTTGAGACTCGGAGAGCAACAGAAGTATCCGTAAGGTAGGTACTCCGTACATACCTGTATTAATGTCGATTGTACAGTACTTCGTCCGTCTTTTCACATCGTATTCATGAGACCGCGATGGTTGATGGAAAGCAGTTCGCATTTTTGCATGAGGTAGCCTAATATACGAATACATACGAATACATTGGGGGCATTGATAGGTCAGGTAAATGGGTATTATACGTAATTACCGGTGAACACCTCCCACTTAAGTTACAAGGTTACTTAACCGGTTCGGCCCCACATTCACGATTCGGGACAGAACGTTGATCGGGAACGACCGATCACTGCAGCAAGGCCCCGCAGAAATATACTGGAGAGGCTGGCACTTTCCTACGACAGAGTACACTACATGCAGAGTGTCGATATTGTAGCAATGGGAGTCTCACCACCGGCCACCATGACAGGAGACGAAACCAGTTTAGCCACGCGGATCGAGGCGCAGTTTTGCCGCCAGGAGTCTCGACTTTCGTCGAGGAGGCGATCTCGAGGCCATGGAAACAGGCAATGCCGCTCGAGCATTCTGGTGTACGACTGATTGATTAGCTAACTACCCGGGCTACCTTAGGTAGGTCCACGACTCGGCTGGTCTTGCCGCTGATCTCAAGTCTCGGGTTAGGATGCTCTGGGGAAAGCTCTCGGCAGAACCGCTGCGTTTCATGAAACGCTCCTCTCCGTCTGCCGATTGGCCGGCTTTGACCTTCGAGTTTGTAGCACATCTCACGTTGCGCCCTTGATCTGTAACACAGGATGCAAGCGAAGAGTTCGATCCAGGAAAGACCTAAAAGGAAAGGAAACAAACAGAGTTTAACGGTTCGGCCAGATGAAGCTCGCTATATGGGCATCTGCAGAGATGTCCGTCTCACAATTGCATAGCCTCACTGCGCAGTCCCTTCTCCCGTCATCCGGCTTGCGCCCTCATGCACAATGATGCTATCTCTCGACCTTCTCAGCATACTGGACTCGTCCACAACAGTGCGTGATGGTGCATACAGTGCCGTCCAGTCTGATTACGCCTACACTGAGACTGTCCGCAATTCAGAGCGGACGGTTTATATTTCCTTGAAAACCAGCGGGGCTAGCGAGGCCGTTGAACAACCGGAAACTAGAAGTATTGATACTGATTTCTTCTAAGCCCCCGGCTTTTGTCGGATCCGGAGAAGTCGAAACGGCAACCCCTAAACGTTCATATGGCTGTGTCCGACTCGGGCGTCTCACGATGAACGACAAACAAAGCAGCCTCCCTCTCTTCGTTTGATGCCAGACATGGCCCTAACTAAGGCACTTCATCGTTTGCAAACCCGCTTCTCCTAAAGAGATAAACGTATTAGGTACTTGTACCTAGCTACTAGCCCACCGTTTTGATTCGATACAGAGTTGTTCGGAATCGATGCGAATAAGTGTAGCCTCTTGGCGTTCCGCTCCATTCTTCAAAAAGTTTTATTGTATCTCGATTTCTTGCCTTTCGCGAAGCTAAGAAATTATCGTGACTGATCTCTTGATACCGTAGACACAAGTCAAGGGCAATCAGAATTGCGCTAGCCGATTATGGTCTCACCGAAATCTTTGAGTTGTTTTCCTAAAACGGAAGGCGCGAACACGCGATAATCAAGCGACCTTTGTCGGAACATTCCGAAGAAGTGTTCAAATGTCCAGTGCCCAGCACGTCGCCAGCACCCTGCGGCCTGCATTCTGCATCCTGCATTTGATATTGCAAGGCGTCGTGCCTTCAAAGTCGTTGACAATTGGCCACGACATACGGATACCGTACCGGACATTGGGATCTGACGGGTCGGCCGCCCTGAGAAGCGCCCGTCGGAACTGGTAAGACTTGCCAAGAATGTAGGTCATCCTATAAGCTTGAATCGCCAGCATCATCAGGATATCTGGATACTTTTTGTCTCGCTGAAGAAGGTTGTCGAATATGATGCCGACCATAATCGTAGCGCCACTTAGCGAAATTCCCTCACGTTGGCCCAGATAACCAACCCCTCTCAAATTCTCACAGCAGGATTTTGAAATCGAACTTACACTTTCGGCCAACAGCGCCCAGCCCGCTGGGTTCAGTCGAGTGAGGCAGTGCAATGCGGAGTCGGAGCCCAAAAGATAATTGCATCTTGGCGCCACTCGACGTGCTGGTTTGATACCTTAATGTGTTGGCAATTGGCAAGGACCAAAGGAGCGTCGATTTACACGGGTCTGAAGCGGATAAGACTCAAGACCAACTAGCGGGATCAAGATGAATTGGGACTCTCCAGGCCGGTGTCTCTGCGACATAGTGTAGATGGAACAGGTGAAGAGAGTATAGACTGTCTGGAGTACAAGACTAAGGGTGCATTCATGCCTTGTCTTGAGTAACAATCGGAGTTTTTTATTGTATGTAGTAGTTATGATGCAACCCTCCAGCCTGTGTGTCTGTCTTATGGCAACACGGCTCTGACCTTTGCAGTAGATTGCTAAGACACACCGGACAGTCAGTCGTAAACCTGCCCAGGAGAATTCACCAAGACCACACAGCAAGATGAGACCACCTAAGCCTTGGCTTTCCCGGCACCGACGGAAGCGCAGCTATATACGCTGAAAATTTGCGTCTGCAGGACACTGGGCGCCGGTGACCTTGGACTCGTTGGAGTTGTATCCCCCGACCTCTCCACTGCAACACCACTCATCAACCAGAAGATCACCGTGAGTGGCTTCCCAATCAAGAAAGTCCCAGTGACAAGAAGTCTAAGCCTCAAACCCAAGAACCTGAGACCCAGTTACGTCGCGCGTCTCCTTCTCCGATTTGACCACGGTCGAGCGGTTCCGGAGCGGCTGCAGCAGATACTAGTAGTACGTGGACGGCGGATAGAATACCTACGCCAATTTGCCAACATTTGCCGGTCAGTCAATCAGTCAAGAGCACCTCCTCTCAAATGCCCCTGAGCTCGTCTCCATACGTGTGACCTCCAAGACGACCAAGATACCGTCCTGTCCGGTCATTTTGTGTGTATCCTCCTCTAACCCCGTCTCCTGCCCAAATCAACATCCCTCACCAGGACCATCCCATCATCTTCATCCTCACCTCCACCCTCACCCCCAGCCCCTTCTTGATGATTCTCTCCAGAACCACCAAGAACAAACCCCTTAACAGCCCTATTCACCACTCCCCTCCAAAACCCAGCCACAACCCCGGTCAACCCGGGCCCTGTCTGCTTGAAATCCGGAAAGGCATTCACCTCAAGCAGCCAGGCCGTGCCGGCTGCGTCGACCAGAAAGTCGAGGCCAAACACCTCGAATGCGTGCGGCTGGGGCTGGAAGTGCACCATCATGCCGCGCACGGCCGCCTCGAACAGCTCGCCTGTGACGGCGCAGATCTGTTCTGTCACCGACGCGATGGTCTCTGGGGACAGGGGCAGGTCGCGGAAACGGTAGACTAGGCTGTTGTTATTGCCGTTGTTGTTGTCGTTAGTGGAGGTGGTGGTATTCGCCGATTGGGTTTGGAGACACGTGTTCGTCAGGTGGGCGTCCAGGTCAATGTCCTGTGGTGATGACCCGGGTGGCTGGTAAGGCTTTGCTGCGAACAGCGCGAGCATGTCGCGGTAGACGTAGACCCGCAGACTGCCGACTGCGAGGGCGTAGACGCGGATGTGGAACTTGCGGTTGCCCAGCGACGGGATTAGGAGAGGTGGGTGGATGTAGGGCTGGGCGACGAAGTGGCGGAGGTGGGAAGTGGTGATACCGTCTCTGTCGTCTTTGCTGCTGTCATTTCCGCCACTGTGACTGTGATTCTGGTCGTCATCGTCGTCCTTCTCCTCCTCCTCGTCTTCACTCTCAGGCTCCCAGCCGTCAAAGATCTCCTGCAGCTGCTCCATGGTGCTAAACAGCCGGATCCCCTGGCCGCGGTCACTCATGCTGGGCTTGAGGATCCACCACTGCGTCTCCTCATTAGCTGCGGCGGTTGTACCACTCCTTTGCTCCGCCACGTTCTCGGCGTCACATCCGCCGGATGTTGCGGAGGAGGCATTCTTCTCCATGCTCTCCCGCAGGTCCCACGCCTCAACCAGGGCGTCGTCCAGGAATTCGGCATAATCCACCTCGAATGCTTCGCTCCGTTTTACGTGCGACTTGAGCACGGATTCGGGGTGCTTCGCCACCCAGTTGTCCACGGTTGCCGAGAGAAAATGCTTCCGGATGAGGGCCTTACGAATCATGTAGCTGTTGACTAGACACGTACCATCGTGGCTGGCGGCGTAGTCAAAGTCGATGCTCTCGTAAGGCATAATCTGGAGAATCTTGGCGGCAGGCTCGGGTATGATGTCTGCCAGGGCAATCTCCGGAGTGGATGAAGACCAGGTTGCTGGCGGCTCGAGGAGGACGTAGCTTTCGGGCGGCAGGAGAGACTTCATGGCCGAAATTATCAGAGGCTGGACATATTCGTCATCGTAGTCCACCAAGGCGTATGTGGGCCGGGATGCCTTTCCACGGATCGTGAGCTCCTGGGCCTTAGCCTCTGAAGTGCCCGTCTCTGCAGTCGCTGATTGTGACACCTCTCCAAATGTCGAGCTTCTAGAGGGACCCCTGAGACGAGAGAAGGCTCTGGTAAGAAAACATCCTGCTACGCAGCGAACAAAACCAGGATGTTGCAGGAAGAGAGGGACGTCAGGGGAGATATCTCATCTATTCCTAGACCATGCGTCTGTATGCTTTATCTGACACTGCTGCCATGTCTATGCATCGCCGTCTCATGATTCTCTTCGCATTTGTCTCTTAAGAAATCCCGCTGCAGACCAAGGGGCAAACTCACAATTGCAACTCTTGACCGTGCAGGTGCGTAGCAGTCTGAAAGAAGTTGGCCTTGAGCGGCGTGACGCTGCGAAAATGTGACAGTTAGCGCACCACATCACATCAATACACCAGAGCCAAACTACACTCACCTCGTATGTCCCTCCTTGACCGCCCACCCATCATTCCCCGGGGGGGCCTCGTCCACGCTCTGGTACACGTCCGTGAACCTCGGCGACCACTTGAAGTGTTTATGCGTATGACACGCCGCTTTCGCCTTCCCATCCCCTTGCGCCTCTTCCATGTCACTCCCCTCAGCCTCTCTAATCCGCTCCTCATCCTCCTCCTCGCCGTCCACACTCCCATCCACCTCGGTAAAACAGCTCCCCGCCATCCAATAGTTCTGCAACATGCCCGTATACAACACTTTCCCCTCCTCGAGCCCCTCCAGCAGCGGCACATTGACGCTATACAAATCCACACTCCCATCCGTCGGCCAATCCCTCGCGAGTGCTTCAATAACCCTCACACTCTGCCGCGTGGCCTTGGCGATGATGACGGGGTCATGGTTGCGCGAAAAGAAGGCGTAGCTCAGCGCAATGGCGCGGCGCTTACACACAGCGGCCTCGAGTGCGCCTCCGAGGGTGCCGCTGCTGAGGGCAAAGACGGCCGTCGTGTTGCGGCCGTAGTTGGGCCCGCTGACGACCAGGTCGACGGGCCCGCGGTCCTGGAAGAAGTGGTACAGGCCGATCTGCACGCATGATGCGGGTGTGCCATCCACCAGGATCCACTCCTCCGTTCCCGGGCGGGTGCTGGGCCGCGAGTGGGTCGTTCCATGCGCGGCGTCCATCCCTCCTTGGGCGGATGATGGGCCGTTTGGTTGCGTGAGCCCCGCGGCGGGTGCCGAGGGCGGCGGCGGCCGGTAGTAGATGGGCTTGACCGTCTGGCCGATCATGTGTGCCTTGCCGATCCACGAGCGCTGCGTGTGCGGGAGGCAAACGGAAACGACATGGCCGTGGGCCTGTAGCTCACGCACGAGCGAGTGAACATAGGGTGATGAGTGCGGCGAGGGCGGTCCATCGTCATTGACCACCAGGATGTGCATCTTGGCTTAGTTGGCTTTGGTCTGAATCTTGGTTTGTTGGTTTATCGGCCAGGAAGGACAAAAGGTAGGAGGGAGGGTATTGTTTCTTTCCTTTTTTCGTGTTTTGATTCTTTCCTTCTTGATGTGCTACGAGAACAACCAAGGAGTTCTACGCAATGTTAGTCAAGGACAGAAGTTGGGAAGGGTAGGTAGTAGGTAGGTTAGGACCGTTAGGTAGTCACGATTGATACCTGAATTCTAACGATAACCTTTACCCGGACCATGAAGCGGTAGGGGACCAAAACACTTTGCCCCTCTATTGACGTTAGGAGTGGGGTAAATTTGCAGCATCAAGTGGGGACTTCTCGACGAGGAAGTCACTGCGACAAAGACCAGCCGACTTATGAGATACTCATCACACTGCACATGATGCTCAACTCAATTCATTCCGAGTGCTGGTTGCCTCTCCTAGTCCCCGGTATTACTTCACGGCTGTAGCTGTGGCTGGCATATCACCACAGCTTGCCTACCTTAGGTAGGTACATACATACAGATATTGACAGTGACCGTCTAACCCTTCAGCTATCCGATTCTCCCTAATTCTGACACGACATTCATAATTTACTCCGGCGCCCTCGACATCCCTCACATGTCCTAGCCCGTGGCCTTTGATACCAGTAATCATCGAGCCATGTCCACAACTGTTGAAGACCAGACAATTAAGAGGATAGCCCAATTGCGCCAACGTGACGTACCAGTAGCATCCATGCTCTGCCGTCACGAAAATGAAGTATGCACGTCCGAAAACTCCGCACAAGGAAAACAAGGCCGCCTGGTCCCCAGAAACTCCGAATCAAAGCCCGCCAAATCTCTCAAGATGTTCTTCACGGGTACAAGTCCAAGACAACAATCAAGCCTTGGTACGCTTTGTCGAGGCAGCAGCCAGTTCATCACCCGGCCGCTTATGGCCGGTGCTCTGGGAGCCGTTCTTCGTCCGGCGCCAGCCGTCAAAGGGGCTCCGTTTGCCGGGCTGCTTGGACTTCATCGGGGTGGATTCGACAACTTTCTTATTCGCGGAACGGGTGGTGCGCGCGGTCGTGGGCGGTGAGGCAGGCGCGAACCGCGGGGCGTCGGGCGTGCCCGGGGCGTGCTCAACAAGGTCTGCCGGGGTAACTGGCTGGTCCTCCTCCATGCCGGCCAACACATGGTCCTCGATATCGGTTGCCGCTTCTTCGTCCTCATTGACAGTCTTTGACTCTCCAGCCTTGGTCGTGGGAAAGAGCAGACGGGGCTTGATGGAGGATCGGGTGAAAGGACGTCTGCTGCTGGATTCAACAGCACTTTCAAGCCCGCCCTCGCCATCATCCAGGCCCTCAGATTTGCCCGAACTTGACTCATCAATTTCAGAAAACTTGCGGAACTGTTTTTTGCCCCGGCTGCGTGGAAGAGATATTGTCAGCAACAGGCAAAAATACAAAAATCAAGGTTGGACACGTACAAAACAATAAGCATGCCGTCTTCGCGACGGATCGCCTCGTCTACCGACACCTTGCCTTCGCCAGGAATGGTAACAGTTTGGCGAGTGCTTCGGCGCTTCGGCGGCTCAGGAACTGCAGTTGACTGGCCGACATAGAACGGATTCTCGGCGCTGTCATCAATCTCGGGAATGCGCTCGTGAGAATCGGTATAGATCTGGATGGGCTCGTCGGCTTCCTCTTCATTACAGAAGCTGTCGAGAGTGTAGTTCTGGGTGCGCATCTTTCTGGGGCTTGGCATGACGTCGGCATCGTCTTCGTTGTGGAACAAGGTGCGCGCGATCGAGCCGACCTTGGCCTTGGCCTGTTCGGTTGGTGGCTTCTGTGGAGTTTTGGCCGGCGTGATAAGCATCCCGGCGCCAGCCAAGGCACTGGCACGGCTGGAGCGCGATTCAGGGTTGCTTGCCAATCCGAGAGCGACTGCAGCGTTTGCAGCGCTTTCGGCGGTCAAAGTACCCGAGAGGCGACGCGACGACTCCATGGGAGGCATGCGCTTCTTCTGCGGCGAAAGGGCAGGTGTAGCCAGGTTTGAGGTCATTCGCTTCTTTGATGATTTGGGCGATCCAAAGGAAGTTTGTTGTGGCTCCGAAAAATGGCGAGATGAGAGTTGGGGCGAAGGAGTTCTGTCGGCTGCTCGCTGTGCAATGCGGGTCGACTTGCGTGGGGTATACGGTTCATAAGGATCGGAATACCCGTACTGAGGAGCTTTGGGTGTTCGAATCCTTGGAGTTGCTCCTGGGGAAGGTGTAGAAGGGTGGAGGACCTCCATAGTGCCAACCGCTTTCGACATTCACCTGACTTCCCAAGTACCAATATCCTTCGAGCGGGTCCCACGTGAAATCAGATTGCGAAACCAGTGGTACTGGTACGGAATGGATCAGAGAAACGACGATGTTTGAGCAAGTCGTCGGGCGACGGTGATATCGATAATGGAACGATGCAACAATTGTCTCGCATGTAACTCAATGTAGCAAGTGTAGAATCAACAGCTGCCGAAACAAATCGCGCAGCATCCGACTCAAAATAATTAGCACTGACGGCAACAAAAAGACATACTAGGATTGCCTAGTTATCAAAGGGGAAGAAAGAGAAGATTTGACGACTTGATGATTGTAGGTAGTGTGAAAATATGTCGGTATCTGGGGTAGTTGTGCGAGATAGTGGAGGAGAAAATGCAGAGAAGGGGCTGGGAGCGGTCTACGTTCGGTTCTTAGAACACGCCCAACCACTCATTGGACACCAACCCCTGTTTTTCCATTAAATGAGTGTGACGCCAAAACACGCGAAACCCCACAATTACGCGACGCGTCTCTGGTCCCTGTCGCCCTGTTCTTTCCTTACCTGAACTGTCAACCCCACCATTTCTGCCAATCGGCTTGCAACAACACAATTTTGAGGGCAAACAAAACAACGTCATCCACAGCCCAACGCCAACGAAGCTTCAGACCAGTACAGACCCTTTTTCGCTGGATCCTTCGGCTCCATTTTTGACATCCCATTCTCAACTCATCATGGTCGACAACTTCGACAGTTCTGACCATGAAGGAGAAGACACGTTTGTGTCGCCGCCTGAATCGGCGCTGGGCCGGTCCAAGACACCCACCAATCATAGCTCGCGCTTCGATACAGAAGAAGCCCGCGAGGCGGCACTGCGCAAAGAACTAGAGGGAGTCAGGAAGATCAACGAAGTGATTGAGGGCGTCATCGGAACGCTGGAGAGAGCTAAGGGAAATATGGGCGTATGCAAGTCCTTGAAACACTCTCTGTTCTTTCCGCTGACTCTCGCTCTGCAGACTGTCTCTAAGACCGTAGACAACGCATCGACATTACTCAACACGTGGACACGCATCCTCTCCCAGACGGAACACAACCAACGGCTGATACTCAACCCGGAGTGGAAAGGCGCAACCCAGGACCTTATCGATATGGAGAATGAGGCGCTTCTGAAGCAGCAGGAGGCCGAGAGACGGGCAGCTGAAGCTGAGCGGCGGCGCGAAGAGGCTCGGAGAAAGGCAGAGGAGGAGGAGCGGAAGAGGTCTGGTTCTGCTGCGACCTCGTCGTCATCCAGGGGAATTGGTCGGGGCATCTCGAGGGGGAGGATCAGGGGGTTAACAAGGGGCGGCGCGACGGCAGGACCGTCATCGTCAGCCCACGGAGTCGACAGAACATCAAGCAGCATTGGGAGCTCAAGGCACACGACATCGGGCATAGCCAGGGGCGGATTTGGATATACGAGAGGTTCTCGATCAAGAGGCGTTAGATGAGTACAGGACTATTGGCAGCAGGATACGCGTCGCGATATGACTGTCTTCTATCCTGTGACGCCCTATCCTGTGAGACCCTATCCTGAACGCCTACCATGTCCCTCGTCTCTGGATGGGATATCCAAATCATAATGTACAGTGAGTATACCCGCTGCAGAAGCAGCTGGGCAGCCTAGTCCAAGCCTCAGGTCATCTTCTTGAAGAACTCGCTCAGCTTCTTCATCCCAGAGGTATTAACCTTCGCCAGCTCTCTAACGCCTCTGCTCTGATTTGCCTTCTTGACCTTCTCCTCGGCCTCCTTCTTTCGCCTCTTCTCGGCCCGCTCGTCCTCCTCTTCGTCCGCTGTCCTCTTCCGTGAAAAGTCGGTGGTCCTCGCGGCAGCAGCATCCTGACGCAGCTCGGCCAGACGAGCGAGGTACTCATCCAGGGGCTTCAAATCGACCAGGTCGGTCGCCTTGGCCAGCGCCGCCTTGAGCACCTCTGCTATCTCCGGCGCGATGTACATCGAGCAGATAAAATCAAAGGCGACCCTCACCCGCTGCAGCTTGACCACCTCCTCGGACGCAGCCATGGCCCTGACAACATCGTCCGCCCCGGCCGCATCCGCATCCGCGTCAGTAACCGAGGTCGCCGCCGTCGTCGCCGCAGACACTTCAGATCCCAAACTAGCCTCCGTCCCAGAAGACTCAACACTCGATTGCGACTCCCCCTCGGTCTCGGAAGGCGTCCCGGTCTGCTCCCTCTCCTTCACACCCTGACCCGGACCCTGACCCTGACGAACGACGCGCACGCCGAGGACGGGTGCCTCGAGCGCGCGCGTGACGAAGCGCTCCTCCAAGCTTGTCGGGAGCCCCGCAGCGGCGCCGGTGTCGTCCCAGCTCCCCGCGGCCATGCGCTGCGCCTTGTACAGCACTTCCCGAAACACCAAGTCCTCGTTCGCCCGGTACATGGTCTCGCCGCCGGCTTCGACTGTGTCGCAGACGTCGGCGAGGCGGGATTCCACGACTTGCTGGATGTGCGGCCAAGACAAAACCTCGGAGAGGTGCCGCGAAGGGTTGGCGAGCTGGTCGAGGTGGTCGTCGAGGGAGATGAACATGCGCGGCTTTTTGTTGTTGTTTTTGTTGCTGTTGCTGGGGGATAGGAGCGCGGGGATGAGGAGGAAGAGCGGGTCCATAGGAGTTGCTACGTAAAGGTCCGGGAATTGGGTTATCTGCGTTGGGGGTTTGTTGGGCGCATTGCTGTTTTCGGTCGTGGCCGGGCCGGTTGGAGGAGTGAGGAGCCAGCTCTCTGGAGCCTTGGGAGGTGGGGAGATTCTGGTGAATTCGAAGAAGCCTGCTTTGGGACATACGAGGTAGCGGGTGGGCTTGTTGTAGCGGGGATTCTGGAGTGCGACCATGCGCGCATCGGGTGTTGCGTCGTCTGGGATGATGAAGAGTTTCGCCGGCTTGCCCGACTCAGCGGGGAGCTTGTAGATGGAGTTGGTCGGTTTCGCGGCGGCGGACTTTTGCTCGGCGGTGGCCGCTGCTGAGGCGCCTTTGGAGCGCGTTCTCGCCATGGCTAAGTCTGTTATGAGGCGGGATCAAGGTGCGCCAAGGTTATGAAGTTAGTATAAACCTTGCGTCGCGCATTGGGTTTCCAAAAGGCTGCGAAGATGGTGGAAATCTGCTGAGAAAGTCAATCGCCCATGTCTGGGGATTCTGTAACCAATGTTAGGTCAAAATCTCCTGGAATCTGAAGTACGTGGTATGAGGACGAAAAGATGCAAGGGGTCATCTCAGCCAAGACCCTTGTAAGTGATGTTAAGGTTGAGTGGATGAAACGCGACTTGGACGCGTGCTGCGCGCGTTTCTTGCAGCCGGGCGCCAAGCACGCGTCGCAACTTCCGAGCGTGTCGCATGATTGCTTTCTCAGTGTCTCACACCATGGCCTCTTCCCGTTGAACGCAATTGTACGCCTTATCGAAAGAGAGGCGCTTATCGGTGTCTACAACTTCGTTGACAACAATTCTTTTCGCCGGGTACAACTGTCCTGCAGCTACCCGACCTTGCTGCACTTGTCACTCATCAATTGGTGGGCATTGGTCGATATTGCGGGACTATGAGATGGTGTACAACTGTTTCCTCTTGCATTCCTGGGGCTTCATTCCGGCAATTGTAAACAAATTTCAAGCTTGACGATTGTGTTTCCCTTCTACCTGGCCTCCCAATACACACAAAGCCGATTATCCAACCCATCAGCCCATCAGAAACTCCGTACAACCCAAATCATGGCTACCCAGTGGCCGCCCAGGTCACCACACGAAGTCTTGCTCAGCACACCAAGAGGACGGGAGAAGCTGCGACGACTCCGTGACCGCACATCTACATCGCCCTCACCCTCGCGGCCCCGATCAAGGCCAATTTCCGCGTTGGCTCCAGGATCTAGCATGGGGGTCGACGATGAGCTATTCGAAGGCGGCGACGTCGACGAGGATGGCGATGACGAGGAGATGTTGCAGCTCAAGCTTCAAGCGATTCAAGCACAATTAAGACTCAAGAGGCTCAAGGCCGCAAAAGCACGGAAACAAGCCGGGGCAGAGTCAGAGGCAGGAGCTGGAGCTGGAACCGGGATGAGGGAGGTTCCCTTACAGTCGAAACTCGCCGCGGCACGAGACAGGTTGGAGAGACAGGCAGCACAAAATGCGATCCAAGTGCCAGCCTCGCCAATCAAGAGGCCAGCGAGCGCAGCAATTCTAGAGCAGACTTCGCCACAGAGATTACTGCTCGGAATCGACAAGGGACGGAAAGCGGCAGACGTGTCACTAAAGAAAGCTCCCAGCCAAAGGAAAGCGGTTGAAGGGCGCTCCAGCAGACAAACGACTCATAGTATAGGGGCAGAATCGCCATCGCAAGGTCAAGGGCAACAACAAGCACCCCGGCCGTTGAGTTTTAATGAGCGGCTGGCAGCTGCCCGCAACGAGGAGAAAGCCCGCCAGGAGAAGAAGGAAAAGATTCAAGGGATCCGGAGCACCGCATTTAGCGTTGGGAAACAGGAGATGGAGGAATACAAGAGCAGGGCACTCGAGATCCCCGATATTCCTTTGAAAGCTGAAGAATTCTCGAGGGAGCAGGTTCTTTCCTCAATAGACAGGCCGTCCGGCGGTCATCTGGAGAGCAGCAGCACTGTCCCTAATGTACGGTCAGGGAAACAATTAGGAGACGGCGGCTCTGACCCTCCCGCACCAACAGCATCCGACCCGGATGCAGGCTACGAACCGTATTCGGGACTCCATCTCTCGAAGCGAATTCTGCCACACACAGTCTTATCCCGGGCGATCCAAGGGAAAAAGGCATATGTTCTCAAGGATCTGCTCCGCCACGTCAAGGCGCCAGACTGGTCACTCCCAGATGTCGAGTCCGACATTGTTGTTTATGCCATTGTCGCCAGCAAATCCGAACCGCGCAGTCACCGGCCGGGCCCTGGCCGCGACGGGAAAGCCCAGAACCGTGGAAAGTACATGGTACTCACGCTCGTCGACCTCAAGTTCGAAGTCGAGCTCTTCCTGTTCAACTCGGGCTTCGACCGCTTCTGGAAGATCACACCTGGCACGGTGTTAGCCATCCTCAACCCGACCATTATGCCACCTCCGCCGGGGCGCGAAGCAACCAACCGCTTCTCCCTTGTCATCAACTCGGACGCCGACACCATCCTCGAGATTGGCAACGCCCGCGACATTGGTTACTGCAAGAGCATCAAGAAAGACGGGACGTACTGCAAAAGCTGGGTGAACGCGCGCCGCACAGAGTACTGCGAGTTTCACACCAACGAGGCGGTGCGCAAGGCGCGCGGCGGGCGCATGGAGCTGAACTCCACAGTCGGCTTTGGCAGCGGCGGAGGCGAGCGAAAATTCAATTCGCATCGGATATACGCCCAAAGCGAACAAGAGCGCAAGCGCAGCGAGGAACAGCGCAAGCGAGGCACCTACGACCACGCAACACAAAGCCACTTCTTCGTCAGCAGCGCGCACCGCGGCGCCGGTCTGAACCCGGACGAACGGGAAAACGGCCTCGCCAACCGCCAAGAGAGAGAAGAAGCTCTGAAACGACGGCTGGCGCAGAAGGAAAAAGAGCGGGAGATTGCCCGCCGCCTAGGGGAGCTCGGTGGCGGCGCGGGGAAGATCTACATGAACCGCGCCGCCGCTGTTGCTGCTGATCCTGCTTCTTCTACTACCACTACCTCCACCGCTCCCCGGAAGGCTACCAAAGGAGGAAGAGAAGGGGAACTTGGATCCAGCTTCTCCTCCGCCACCCCTCCCTCCTCCTCCTCCTTCTCGTCCTCCGCCGTCCCGACCTCGGCCGCGTCCTCATTCAACACATCCATCGAACAACAACCCCCAAAATGGGACGCCCGCTCGCTCGGGCTAGTCGGCCGGCGCGGCGCAGACCAGCCCAAGATTGACCTTGGTCCGGTCAAGCGCAAGAGGGCGGAATCGGCGGCGTCGAGCTCGACTGTTGTTAGCGGAGGCGGGGCTGGTAATAAAGCTGGTGGTGGTGGTGGGCTAGGGTGGGGTTCGATGCTCAAGGACAAGCTGGGCCGGATGAGGGAGGGGGAGAGGTTGGATGGGCGGCGGGTGGTGGATATGAAGACGGGGATTGGCGCGGCGCTGGTGGGCGCGGGTGCGACTTCGCCATCAGGTGCGGGTGCGGGTGCGGATGCTGCTGCCAGCAGGGGAGACAAGTCACCAGTGAGGAAGAAGACGAGGTTCGTCACGGACAAGGGGATTCGTGAGGCCGGGAGGGATAGTCTGGGCGAATCGCTTTTGGCGGGGACGGCGACGCAAACGCGACGTCCTGTGGTGTTGGATGACGATGATGAGGATGACGATGATTTGATTATTGTCAAGTGAGGTTGGGTAACCGGGTTTCTTTGGGACTGTACGTGGTACGGATGGGTGGTAGGGGTTGGGAATATAAATTGGAAGGAGGTGTACTTGTATAGGTAGCGTCTCGGTTCTACGCATTCAACGGGGCATGGAGGTTTTGTTTGCCTGGTTGTCCGGTTCTGTGCTTATGGGGTAGGGATTAGAAGGAGGTACTAGGTAGATGTGCTGACTGGGCCAGCAGTGATGCGACTGCCTGGGTCTGTCCAGATCAGAATATATGCTGCATAGCAGGTTTCCAGATTGCAGGAATCGTGTCCAAAGGGGGTTGAGACGAACACACAGCACCCGCCTTCGTCGAACTATTGTCCCCGAAGATATAAGCAGCCGTGTTTGTCCTATCTATCCCATACTGTAACAACCCAGGCCAGGAACTTGGAATATCGTGATACCCTCTGCTCTGTGTAGTGTCTTTGTCGTGTCATGCCTTTACGTGCTATCAACCGTAATTCCAACATAGTAATACAAACCAACTGAAACAAATGACTGACTATTACCCCACGCGACTGGCGCCTCTGGTGGACCTCGAAATGGCCAGAAGGGGAATTCCCGATTCCCAACTCAAAGTTGTTCGAATCGACCTCAGACCGCTCGGTTCTATCAGGAGCACTTCTCTCCCGCTATCGTCGGTCCGAAGTTTCGCAACCAATCCCCCTAGCATGGCGCCTTTTCGAAGCCGAGCAACCAAGCCCGCTAGCATAGGGACCTTTTGCCACCAGGACTTCTTTCCCGTTCCGGCATTCGGCCCAGCCAAGCCTGTACCCTCTGGTCCGCCGCTCCTTATGCAACACCGAAACTTCTCAGCAATGTCCATATCAGGAACTCCTGTAATCGCGGCGGGCCGGTATCTTTGAAAGAAAACCATCCAAACGAGCAGGGCGCCGATGAAGAGGACGGCCAGTACGGCCGTGACGGTAAACAGACACACGACCCAGGTTTGCCCCTTGAGGCGCTCCATGATCCTGACGCCCACGGCCGTCGTCAGCATGTCTGCCGGGAGCGGGAACTGGAGCGAACCGAAGCCGTCAGGATCCCCGGACTGTTCCTGGATGGTCGAGTTCGCAAATTGGATGGCGGTCACCATGAACTGCAAGGGGATGGCTAGAAAGTTCTCCAGGTGTTCCATCGGCGTGTTGGCGTCGTCGGGGAACTCGTCGTCGTACAGCCGTTGCAGCCACGCGAGGCTGAACGTGACCGAGTCTATCATGCTGCGATCCAGGCTGTTGGCCTGGTCGGTTGGTACCAGCATGCGGCGCCACAGAAGCTGGTAGTCGGACTCGTTGAGCGGGACGGCCTGGGGCTCCGAGGTGAGGGTTACGTCGAGTATGTGCAGGTCTTTTCGCCGGTATGAAGTCGTAGAATACTGCTTGTACGCGGACATGCTTAGTTTCGTACGAATCGGTGCGCGCGTCCAGCTCGTGTCGTTGAAGCATCTTTTACGGTCGCTTAACCTCGTAGGACACGGCGCCCAACCTAGAGTCGAGCCGTGTTAGGGTCAAGTAGTAGGGTCATTTCAAGTCAGGGCAGAGAATGACTTGCCTACTTCAAGAGATGGGGGTGCCGGTCTTGTGCAGATTTGGATGGCGTCGTTGAAGCCATGGCCGTAGACGGTACACTCGTGGTTTCTGTCGAAATCTGAGGTCGGCGGCAACGGCTTGTATGCCAGCAAGAAGCCGGGGGCATTGTGAATTCCGATGGCTTCGTGGTCTTGAAACAGGCCTCCTTCTAGCAGGGTCGAGTTCAGCAAAGAGCCGTTCAGGGCCCTCGCCGTTTCAAGGCCGCCGGGGATGAGGAACGAGCGGCAAACGCCGTCGCAGTTTGGAGCCGGCATGCCAACCGTGTACTGCTCGTAGCTGAGTAGAACCTGGGTAAAGGCCTGAAAATACATTGCGATACGAGAGGGACGGAGTGGGCCTAAACTCAAGACTCGCGGGTCCATGGGTGCCAGGCCAGCGTAAACCTGGACCGGAGGACCGTTCTCGCGGAAGATATATTCAAAATCGGCGTTGACTGGGTTTCCATGTTAGATGGCTGCTCCAGCGGCAGGGCGAGTAAATATCTTACACTTCAAGATAGCGCCGTAATAGATGGTGGCCAGGGGCAGACCGAGTCTTTGTGGTAACCGTAGGTCAGTGATAACACTCCCCCGGAAGTTATAGGGGTCAAGCATTTACCTCACAATCCCAAACGCCCACGTTGCGGGCGACTTCCAGTTTCCCAGGGAAATGAAGGCGGACGCATGCCACTCGGTGGCTGAACCCATTACCGCAAATAGGGCCAAGGGGATGCCTTCAACGCGTGCTGCAAGGAGCCAGCGTGCATGGTTCAGAACATCACCCAAGAGATATGCCACCAAGCTTGCGAAGATGGTAGAGCAGATGGAGAGGATCCAGTTGGCAGTTCTTGCCTCCATCAACGCATCGGGAATCCGGGGGTCAGCAGCTAGTAGCGCCTGGTGGACGTAGACGAGGTACAGAATGGTGAGTAAGGCCGTCACCCCGAACAGGAGCAGGATCGAGGACAAAGCACGGGCTCGGGTCTTCACGCTACATTGTCTGTTGGCAATGTTGGATGGCACATCAATGGGATCGCTGCTGTGGCTAGGTCCAGGCGGTCCAGGCTCCGGTTCCGGCGAGCCCTGTGTAGGCTGTTGTCTGGGATCGCGCAGGCCAAGTTCCAAATCCCCTGGGAAATTCTGATTGAGAAAAGCAGTGCTTTCCATGCGGATAGTGTGGGACGTTTGATGCAGCTCGTAAGTGATCGAGGCACCGGACGACCCTTTCCTTAGGGCACCACGGGGCTTTTGAGCTTCCATCAGTATTAACTGGCTCCAGGGGCTTCAATACAGCCCATATCGAAGCTGCCAATAGTTCCTGCATTAGGAGCAAACACCACACACAGATACGAAGCGTGGCTGGTCCATCTCTGGAAGCCTCGGCTCCCAACTAGGAAGGGCCATGTAGCACACAATGGGTCAACCACAGTATCTCAGCTATCATTAGGCCTTCTTCACCGAAAGTGCACTCATTGCTCATGCAAGCCACATATTCCATCGGACCTGTGATCGTTTTCATTTTCATCTTGGTATGTATCCACTGGCAAGCAATCCCGTCGGACTGGCTTGCACAGCCTCGTTGTTTCACCATGTTCGTTGATGCCCGCCGTTTTGAAACAAAAGAGATCTGGTCATCATGAAGAGTTGAGGCTGTCGAGGCCTCGAAGGTCACAGAGGCTGTGTGTGGGTGTGACATGACCCTTAATTATCCCCGTACCTGGTCGCTTGACACGAGGAGAATGCATTTCCTGTGAAGAAATCATTGTGGTTGCCAGCAATCTTCTTCGCAAAATATCTCACTGCAGATGGGAGCAATTGTCACAAGTCGTTAATTTCCTGGGTCAAGTTAATGAGGTATGGAACGTATCCCGTCCTCACAGGTAGGAAGGTACAGTACCCGTGAAACGGTGAAAGTCGAGGGGCAGTTCCCTTCGCACTTTCATACCTGGCTCTCGGGTCTGTCAGGACTCAGTTAGAGATAGAGTGGGACTGCTTAGGTAATCAGCTTAGAGACTTCGTAAAACACAAGAACTGCCAACAGGCAGCACCGCACCTCAGCCTCCCATCTGCACACTGGGTTGTAAGACGAACTTACGAGCCACCCGCCTACGCATTGGTTCCTAACGCAAGATGGCGTTGCATCTGAATGTCCTGATCGCCTGGCGCTTGCATAACCCCGCAGCGTGTTCTTCGAATCCGTTGGATACTCGAGGCCTCCCCTCCACCCTAGCTGATCTCAGTAACAGTGAGTGCGCAGTGAGCGCTTCGCCCATTTCGACCTCTGGAAGTCGTATCGGCAGGCAATGGATTGAGCATCGACGTCTTGTACAATAACCAGAACCAGCCGTGGCCAGACGTCGCCTCATACTGCTTACTATGGACGGTCTTAGCACTGCCGCAAGTATCGTCGCGGTGCTGCAGCTCGCTGGAACCGTTCTAAACTGCTTAAACTCGGTTCGGAATGCACCAAAGGAGCTTGAGAAAGTTTTCGGCGAGATCAGCAGCATCACGGGTGCGCTGTTTCTAATGCAGACCCAGGCAGAGCGTGCACAACAAGACCAGGAAGGCGCCGGAATGCTGTTCACCGCTGTACGCTCCCTGAGTACCCCAGGAGGTCCGCTGGAGCAGTTCAAAGCAGCTCTGAAGACTCTTGCATCGAAGTTCTCCCCAGTGGGCGCCGTGAAAAAACTCAGCCGGACACTCGCATGGCCTTTCGAGAAGAGCGAGATAGCCGAACTCCTGCTGTCACTGGAGAGGTTGAAATCCTATTTTATGCTCGCTCTCCAATCTGATAGCCTGTATGTCTACTTACCAAAGTCTGTCTTTCTTCGGGCCTGGACTTCATCGATTTCTGAACCAGCTACTTATCGAGGGAAACCAAGGGTGCTGTTAACGATCTCTCCGAAGCCGTGGAATCGCTACGCCTTGGCAAAGACGGTATGGAGTTCTCCAGCTATTCAACTCCACCATAGGCATCATGAAGAATGGTTGGCTGATCGACCTTCAGACCAAGAATGCCGAAGGATCCTGAACTGGCTCAACACTGCCGACATGGAGCAGAAACACCAAGATGTGTTCTCGCTTTATCAGGAGGGTACTTGCTCTTGGTTCTTAGGATCAGATGCCGTTGATGCCTGGCTAGGAGGCGAAGGTAATCATATGCTCTGGTGCCCAGGAGATCGTAAGTACGCGCCCCTGCCAGTCAAAAGTACAGACCATTACTGACTGCAAGCGCAGCCGGTGCTGGAAAAACAGTCATGACGTGAGTAGCTCTCGGCAGTACCGGACTCAAGTAGCACTGAACTGACTCGACGCCTAGTTCGGTCGTCATCGAGCACGTTAAAGCGAAATTCCCAGATGAAGAGACCGTCGTCGCTATGGCTTGCTGCCACCTTAACGACCCTGATGCAAATACAAGCATCTCCATAATCTCTAGCTTAGTGAAGCAGCTCGCCATCCATGGCGACACACTGCATCGTGAGGTCCATGAGCTCTATCATAAGATGACCAAGGGATAAAAAAGTCGACCAAGCCTAGCCTCAGAGAGCTACAGCGCTTGCTTCTCTCTCTTGCCTCGAGCTTGAAGAGAGCTTATGTGTTCGTGGACGGACTTGACGAATGCGATAAGAAAGACAGAAGCATGCTGCTCTCATCCCTAAAGGACCTGGCCAAGTTGAAGAACGGCCGGACCTGGGTCTTCACAACCAGTCGTCCGCACGCCCAGGACATCCACCGGGAATTTGACGACCCTTCTATCATAACCCGAGTTGATATTAGCGCCAGAGAGGCAGATGTTGCGATGTTCGTCAAACAGCAACTGGAAAACGATGACGACCTTCTAGAGTTAATCGCCGCTGATGGAGAACCTGGTTACGGGCCAAGCCTTCTCGATAGAATCATTTGCTCAACCGCGCGACAAGCGTCAGGGATGTAGGTCGTTATTCATTCGATAATAGCACGACCTCGGTCAGTGAACCATAGCTAACGAGCACAGGTTTCTATTGGCAGCCTTACAGGTGGAACATATCCGGGCCTCTGCCAGCATCAGGGATGTTAACGATGCCCTCACGAGCATGCCAACAGGTCTCTCGGACATGTACACCAGTTGTCTGGAGAGGATGGTGAAATAACCGGAGACATGGTACCGGAGAGGATTACTAATCTTAGCCTGGATACACCGTTCGGCGAGGCCCTTAACTGTCGACGAGCTTGGACATGCTCTTGTGGCGGAAGAAGCAGGCGAAGCAACTCCACTGCCACGGCAGCTGGACGCGACTGCTCTGGTTAAGGACAAGTTCATAGTCAACGTGTGCGCCGGTCTTGTTGCAGTTGAGCCCATGAGCAAGCGAGTGCGCTTGGTTCACGCTACCGCCATGGAATACCTGGACCAGCTGGGGGATCGTCATTTTGCCCTCGCCGAGGAAAGAATTACTCGAGCTTGTTTGGCGTACCTCTCGTTTGATGAATTCGCCAACGGGCCTAGCCCGTCTGACGACAGCATGGAGCGCAGGCTAGAGAACTTCCCTTTCCTGCAATACGCGGCCAAGTGGTGGGGCTGGCATTTGCAAAAGACGCGAAGCTTGCATCTCCAGGAAATGGCCTTGATGCTCCTCAAAAACCATAGAAGCAGCATATCCATTAGCCAGGCTTCCCACCTTCCAAGCTTCAGGTTCCACAATTACAGCCAGCTTTATCCCAAGAACGTCAACGCGTTGCACGTTGCCGCCCAGTTCGGCTTGGACGAATTCGCCAAGTCGGTTCTTGCAGACGGCAACGCCGACCTCGACTCGGAAGACAGCTTCGGATGAACCGCGCTCCACCGCGCCGCCGAGAACGGCCATGTCGGAATTGTACGCCTTCTTTTAGAGAAGGGCTGCAACCCTAACGTCTCGGCGCGGTTTGGCGGGACTCCGTTGCACCGAGCAGCCAAGAATGGGCATCTTGGAGTCGCTCAGCTGCTGATACATCACAAGGTGAAGTTGGACGCCGAAGATAACTATGGAGGAACCCCTCTCCACCGCGCCGCCAGGAACGGGCATTTGGATATCGTCAAAGCACTGCTTTCCTTTGGCGCTTGTGTCAACCGGAATTACAATTTTCACGTGGCCTCACGGCTGATATGGGAAGACAGCCTGGTTCAAGCCGTGTTTGCATCCCCGGAATTCAGACGACATCCTTCCCGTTGGGATATGGCTACCCAAGACAAGGTAGCAGCCCGACTACAAGCGGAGCTTACGGCATCAGGCCCTCTTTTGGGAGGGACAGCGCTACATGAAGCTGCCGGCAGCGGCTATGAGGAGCTGGTTCGGTGGCTGCTGGGTCTAGGGCACGCAGAGATTGATGCCGAAGACTACGGTGGGGGAACGGCGCTGCACCAGGTAGCGAGGAACGGACACGGCTCCGTCGTCAGCATATTGTTTGAAAGAGGGGCACTGGTCCATCGGTTTTGCGACTACACGGCGCTGGCCCAAGGACAGATCTCGTTGCCTAGGCACTCCGAGTTCAAATCTATGCCTGGGGAATTCGCGGCTCTTTGGAAGGTTGCTGGCACCCCTCATCAGGACGCTGCGAGGAACGGGCACGAAAATGTGGTGCATCTGCTGCTGACCAACGGGGTCGATCCGAATCTCGCTAGCGTGTATGGCGACGCGGCTGTCATTCAGGCGCTACTGCAGCATGGTGCCGATGTCGACCAATCCAACAACATAGGGGGCGCGCCAATTCACGAAGCGGCGGAGTACGGACGCGAGACGGCAGCACTTCTGCTCCTCAAAGCTGGTGCTAATGTTAATAAACAGCGAGCGGATGGCAGCACCCCTTTGGTGCTCGCCGCGAAAGGAGGCCACGAGGCGCTGGTCGGTCTGCTCCTTAGCTGGGGTGCGGAAGCCGACATGGTGAACAGGGACGATCACACAGCACTCTCCATTGCCGCAGAGAACGGTCACACTTCCGTCGTCCAGCTTCTGCTGCGCCACGGCGCCAATTTCGATTTTGTAGCCACTTCAAATGGGACGACGCCGCTATTTCTCGCAGTACAGAATGGCCATTCCGAAGTAGCGAAAATACTGCTGCAGCATGGGGCAGATCCGAACTTTGTGTGCCACCGAGTTGACAGAAGATACTCAGTCCTGGCCGTCGCGGTCGAGCTGGCCAATTTGCAGACAGTGGAGGAGCCTTTGAGCAACGGTGCTGATCCAACCAGCGTACTTTACTGGGCTATCGCCATGATAAGCTGCCCAGCACACGAGAAAATCGTCTGCTCGCTCCTACGATCGGGGGCGGACGTCTGCGCAAGGCTTGAGTGGTGGCCCAGGAACACAGCACTGCACGCAGCGGTGGAGGGTGGGCATGAAAGGATGGCCGCACTCTTGATAGCACGCGGAGCTGACATAAACGCAACGAACGGGGCCGAAGAGACGCCGCTGCATCACGCCGCAAAATCCCGCCGAGTCTCCATGGTACAGCTTCTCCTTCGAGCAGGGGCACGGCACGAGGTGGGGGTTAGCCCGCTGTACGCCGCAGCACAAAGCGGTAGCGAGGCCGCAGCACAAAGCGGTAGCGAGGCCGCAGCTCAGATCCTGCTCGACCACGGGGCCGAAATCATGGGCAACTCCAACGGTGGCACCGCCCGACAAGAGGCTTTGCTCGTAGCAGCAAGAAGGGGGGTCACAAACCTTGTTCAGGTACTTCTAGACTGCGGGGAAGACGTCGATCTCATGCTGGAAGACAAGACACCGTTAATCAACGCTAGCAAAGGAGGCCATGTTGCCGTCATTCGGCTTCTGGCCGAGCGCGGTGCGCAGCCGGGGAGGGCGGAGACCAGAACCGGAATGACACCCATCATGCTGGCGGTTTCTGAGGGTCATGAGTCAGCGGCCTTGTTACTGTTGCAATTGGGTGCCCGTCTGGACGCGGTCGACAAGATGGCAGGCCGGAGCCTCCTTTCGTGGGCGTCGGAACAGGGTATGGATGAGTTAGTTCGAGAACTGCTCGGCCGCGACGATATCGATGTTGACGCTAAGGACTGTGAGGACCGAACTCCAATTTCGTTGGCAGCAGAGCAAGGGCACGCCACCATTGTGCAGTTCTTACTTCGGAATGGAGCGGAGGTAGACAGCGTCGGCGCTGGATTGACACCACTGGGCTTTGCTTCGGAGGCTGGACAGCCCGACGTGGTGCGGCTGCTTGCCGCTGCTGGAGCCAACATCAACGCTGTCCAGGACAGTCCGCACCCTATTGAGCTTGCCGCCAAGGGTGGACATACGGCCGTAGTGCGGGAACTTGTCGATCTGGGCGCAAACGATTCCGGTCGGTCGGCAGCACTAGAGTGGGCTGCCTCTAGCGGGGACTGTGACTCGGTACAGGTTCTGCTCGAAGGCAGTGTGAGCATGGAGGCGCTGTCTGTGGCGCGTGCTATCTCTGCGGCGGTGGCTCGAAACGACCTGCAAGTCGTGCGAGTCCTAGTTAGTAAGTGCGATACCCAGGACATCGCTCGGAATCTTGGGAAGGAAGTGCTCTTGAGAGCTACTGCGCTAGGTAATGAGGAGATGGTTCAGACACTGCTGGACGTTGGAGCTCGTGAAAGTGTCAAAGAATCGCTCCACGAGGCGCTGAAGACGAACCAACCGGCCATGGCCCAACGTTTACTCGCTGTATGGGACAACGTAGATTGGACCCCGGTGGATGATATGACACTGCTGGCGCGCGCTGCTAAAGGAGGATACGAGGATATCGTTGGGTTACTTCTTGAGTTAGGCGCCGACCCGGACCAAGGAGCAACCTATGTGCATCCTGAGCGGACGGCCCTGTCCTTTGCCGCCAGACGGGGCCATTTAAGGATTGTCAAGTTGTTGATGGAGAAGATGACACGGGCGAGTGACCTACTCCTGCTCATGGCGATGCTTCTGCCGGGTTTCGAGCATGAGCGCATCGCTACGATCTGTGGGGAGGCAGCTCCGCTGAAGTGGAACGATCACGCAGGCCATGGAGAAGAGCTTTTGATTAAGGCCTCAAGCTTGGGGTTTGAGAGTGTCGCCAGGCTCTTGCTGGACAAGGGGTTCAACCCCAACTTTGGGGGGAGTTGTCGGGGTAACACAAATTACACTCAATTGGCGCGCTTTGACAAGAAGCCCAGCGCCTTCTTCAACGGGGCAGAGAATATCCGATTCACATGGCGATTCTGGCTGAAAGCTCTCCGGTGGTTCGACTCTTACTTGATCGCGGAGCCGACCCAAATACACAGGACAGAGGGACCGGGCTCACGGCACTTTCCTTGGCTTCTGGGTTGGCGCTTGATTTATTGTTAGGCTGCTCCTGAAGCACAACGCCGACTTGGAATTAAGGGATGACGGACAAGACGGCTTCACGCCGCTATCGTGGGCGGCAAAGAAGGGGAATGAGACGACAGCTCGACTCCTGCTGGAGAAGGGGGCACAGGTAGATGCTCGAGACCATCACGGTTTGACACCCCTCCTGATTGCGGCGAAACACGGGCACGGTGCGGTGAAGGCGCTCTTGGATTACGGGGCTTCTGCCCGAGAAGCCGACGAAGAGGGCTTAACAGCGCTTCACTATGCTGCGATGGGCGGCTTTCGGAGTACCGCACGTGTCTTGCTGGATCACACAGATGTCGAGCCCTGGCTTGCAGACAAGAGCGGGAAGACACCGGTTGACCTGGCCCGTTCACAGGGGTATAACCCATTAATCGAGCTTTTGGAAGCGCAGATCAAGGGCAGAGGGTAATATCAGCTTTGCCTTCCGCGTGTTTCCTGGTCACAGAAGGGCCATTCTACCTACATCAATACAACGTTCGAACAATCCTTCTATCTGCCGTCGAATCCAGTACCAAATCAATAGCCAGATACGAGGATTGTCGCAGTTTGCCCAGACCCCGAGGGCATGAGCTGCCCATCTCCTATATGTGTGCCCAAATATGATCCGACCTGTTTCAAGCCCCTGGAGACCTCGCTCTCGACGCGATACATAATTCGGGCTCCATACGAGCCGCAACGCGGGCGACTTAAAAGACCGGGCAGCCATCAGTTCAAGCCTGGCAGCATACGTGTATGCCATATCGAGTGCTTCGTCGAGCGTGTCGTTCAAGCACTTTTGGCATACCATCAAGCACCTTTGCCGTATCATCGAGCGCCTTTGGCATACCGTCGAGCACCACTGACACGCCGTCGAGCATCTTCGGCATGCCGTCGAGTACCTCTGCTGTATTGTCGAGCACCCTGGGCATACTATCAATGTCGAGCACCTTTGGCGTGCTGTCGAACTTCTTCGGCGTGTCATCGACCTTGATGGGTGGTCGTCGAGCACATCAGACCTCGTACCTTCCCACTCAAGCTCGCTATCTTCTTCCATTCGAAGCTGCTATCTTCTTCCCACTCATCAGAGACTTCGCTCAATGGCGAGGCTACCACTTCCATCTGATCAGAGAAAGTGCTTGGGAGAGGAGACAATCTCGAGGGATGATTTTCGCGCTCTTGACACGTCATGCTGGAATAAGCGAGCAGGTATTCCCAGGGATCGGATGAACCTGCACAGAAGGCAATACGAAAGATATTGGTTGCAAGAGCATCCACATTGCTCTGTAAGATCGTCGGCCTGGTCGGGGAGGTCACTGTCCCAGGCTTCGTGCTCAAGGTCAAGAGTATCCCCAGTAAAGTGCGTCCATGTCGATGTCTTAGTGTCGAGATGAGTGTATTGGCTTGGTGTGTGTACCTAGATAGGCAAGTGGGGCGCGTACTTGCTGCTGGGTAATTGGTGGGGCCTTTTGATCAAAGGGTGCTTGTGGTGACGAGAAATTGCTTGCTCAAGATGCGTTGGTCGCTTGGAGTGCAGTAACAACAATTCTGTCCCGGAGTTGAATTTATACCCGAAATTGAGCCTACATTCACCGTGCGGTCCGAGAGTTTCTGTTTAGTGGCCCCGAAGTATCAGGTAATCGCCTAGTGTTTTGAGTTGTATATCTCCCGAGTCCCGACCACCTTCCAACAGTAGGGAAAGCCAAAGCCAAACGAAGCATGGCGACCCAAGACGATGCCGGTATCCCGCTCTTCCACGCAGTCGACGAGACCGGCTACAAGCTTCTAGAGTTACCGCCCGAGCTGCTCGAGCTCCTCGAACGCCCAGACCCTCCGACGTGAGTTGCACCCAACTTCACCGAGTTACGAAGCAGCAGTTCATTTCCCCGCCTTTCACAGCCCTACGCAGCCCTACGCAGCCCTACGGAGCCTACCATCCCAATCTGCTTCCAGAATCCCCACTCTCCCGTGCACCATACAACCCTTAAAGTTCTTTCCCCAGGCAATCCTCCCGTACTGTACAATACCTTACTCTTCACGTATTTTGTTTTATGGAGCCCTCGGCTACACTACCCGCAGCCCGCTCACCCCCCTTTCTTCTTACTCTAACAACCGACAGTCTGCCTGACCAGCTGGCTTACTGACCAACCCTCTCCTCCCACCCTCCCCTCCCTTTTCTTCATTAAAACTGACCCCCCTTCTCTAATCTAATCTTTTCTCAGACTGACCCTCCACCCCTCCCCAACCGCGGCACTCCTCAAGACGCCCAACGACAGCAACGGCAACGGCGGCGAGGGCAAGACCTACTCCCTCCGGCAGAAAAACACCTCCAACGCCCTCATCCTTCTCGAGCCCGCCGCCCCTACTACGGCCACGGCGACGGCCACCACGGATGATGACGCCCAGGTGATTGGACCACCCGGGCTCAACGCAATCGCCACCCTCCATGAGACGATTGAGCTTGTCCCCGAGGCGATCGGGGACGCGGCGGCGGCGGCGCCCAAGCCACGGGGCAAGTGGCATGAGAAGTTTGGGAAGGGGCGGTAGGCCGTCTTGTCAGTCTGTCAGGCTGTGTCTGAATTGTGACTGGGTTTGTAGCTAGGGATGGATGGTGTGGCATGCTGTAACCAAGGAGGGTGGGCTAACTAAGAGAGAGGTCATCATAGCTAGAGCAGCAAGCAGCAGTAGCGGCAATGACCATCGGCAATTGGCAACTGGCAATCACAAGCAAGTCCACGGTCATATAGATTCATTAATTAGCGCCCAAGATCAAAAGTATGACTTCTGTCCTGAGCGAACTACACATGGAAGCGCCGTGAGACGTGTTCCTACCATGACACAACAGGTGACAGAGCACACCCCGTGCAATCCGGAGGACTAATACCAAACACGGAAGGACAACGATTGCTAGCAGGCCCGAGCAAAAGAACAGCGAATAACAAAACAGACCCCGACATATCCCACACCGGACCATTCCACGCGAAACCAGCGCCGTAACCCATGAAAGAAGCTCAAAGTGACTAAACGGCAGAGAGTAAGTAGCCAGCCGGAACTGAAAAGGCATCGGCCAGCGAAGCTAACATTCTCCCTCCCTCTGCCTTCGCTGCGTGATGCCCGCGTAGGGCATGGCAAAAAGTGCCGTAGATGATTATGATTAATGCTGCAACTTCCAACGAAGCCTGGTCCGAACCGAGTGCATGCAACCCTGTCTTCGTAAGATCATACCCATGTATAGTGCCATGGGGTGAGAGAAGATGAGAAATCGCCCAGGGAAAATAAAAAAGAACGAGAGAAGAAGTGTCAAATCAAAGGATACTTCCTCGCCCGAGAGGCGGCTCATGGTGGCGATGTCCCGGGCCAGGCGTTTCTCGCATGGAGTGGTTCATAGAAAATGCTGTGAAAGGTCACGCTGATATCACTCACAAGCTGACCTGACCTGACGAGTAATGGGCCAAGGAGTGGTAAAAACTGAGGCGGTCTTAATCCGGGCAAGCGAGACTTAGATTGAGGTCCCTCCCGTTGCTCAGACCTCTTTACGGGGCTGTCAACCCCTGATGTTCGTGCCAAACACGTCATAGTCACGATGCCCGGACCTTTCAAGAACCACCTTTGGGGCCCGGGGACGGTGATACGGGAAAAGGTGCCGGAGTAGCGTGGCGGCTGGCGGCGAGCCCAGCAACAGCGCCTGCCTGAGAAGGTGAAGTAATCTGGGAAGGTGACATATTAGCGTGCCTACTGGCGGCGAGCCCAGCAACGCTGCCTGTCTGAGCAGGGAACGAAGCCTGCGATACTGTTATGGCAGGCTGGGTGCTCGACCCGGACAGGCCAATGCCGCCTGTCAAGTTCTGGCCCAGTCCGTAGCCCGCGGCACTTTGGCGGTTGGATTGCTAATCCACTCCTCCTGCCAGCCCCTGCGGGTTCTGAGGGGGAGGAATCGGCCCTAAGGCAACACCGAAGCCTGGGTTGGAGTTAAACGGCACGACCGGATGCGTGCCGAACGAACTTCCGAACGTCGGAACTTGGACTCGAGGACCATGAATGTTGCTTGCTTGGGGCTTGGGAGTAGGCCACCACTGTGGGAGAGCCTGAAAAGGTGCATGAGGTTGGTTCGGTGCCGGAAGTCCGTTATGGGGGAATGACCAAGCGTGGCCAACCGCGGGTGGGCTGTACATCGAGGAGAGGCCAGCTTGATGAGGAGCGAGGATCTGATTCCATCGAAATTCCCCCGGCGGCTGGGACAGTAAGGGCGCAGCATTTTGCAGGAGCTGCTCATGTTGAGCGGGCTGTGCCTGGTTGCCGAATTGAGGTTGTTGGGCGACCTGTATATGTGCTTGTAGTTCTGCTTGTACCTGTGCTTCTAGTTCTGCTTGCTGCTGCGCTTGCTGCTGCGCTTGCTGCTGCGCTCGCTGTTGTGCTTCCTGCTGCGCTCGCTGCCGTGCTTCCTGCTGCGCTCGCTGCCGTGCTTCCTGGAGCGCTGCTCGCAGTTGGGCTTGCTGCTGCGCTTGCTGCTGCGCTTCTCGCTGCGCTCGCAGGTGAGCTTGATGTTGAGCTTGCAAAGCTGCTGCCTGTTGAGCTTGCAAAGCTGCCTGCTGTTGTCTTTGAAGTGCCACCTGAGGCTGACGAACGACCCGTGCGCCAAAGGGACCAAACTGCTGGGCGACCTGGTCATCTTCTCTGTTGACTGCTGCAACCATCAGTCAGAGAGACGCAATATAGCACCAAAAAGCCCTAAGGGGGCGGAAAATATTAAAAAAACCTACGGAGAGCCTCTGGTACAGGATTTGGCGGGCCAGCGGCTGCCGCTTTCTGCGCTTTTGCGCCCCTCTCTACCTTCTCTGAAAAGTTGATATTGAGCAGGTCAGGGTGGATATCCGGGTTCTCCTGGGCAACCCTTCTCCGTTCCTCTTCCTCGGCTGCCCGGACTTCTGCTTCGTGCCGCTGCTCTATGTCCTTGTCGAATAAGGGACAGTTCCCCTGCTTTCCACCCCTCGAGGTGTCGTTGAAATGACTGTAATCACAGGATTTTGAGCAGATATAGCATTGCACGTTCCGGCAGCCAGCGCGGGTGCAGGTCATCTTGTTGCAGCCCTCCGTCTTGATGAAAGGTGTGCCGCCTACGCCGCTACTGTCAGTGGGAGCAAGGTGAAAACAATAGTAAGGGCACGGCTTACATTTATTGCATTTGCGGATTAGAGCCGCCGACCTGGCCTCTTCGATCTGACGGCGAAGGGAATGACCCATTTCGCGCATGTTTTCCTCGCATGACTTGGGAATGTGTGTCGCCCTGCGGCAAAGCCTGCAGCTCACGATGCCGCACTCCGGGTTGTCGCATCTGAACTCCTTGTTCTCCTCCACTGGGGGGTATTCGGCCGCGTACGGGCAAAAGGGGCAGCGTTCCAGATCTGGGATATCAGCCAGACGCAGGTTCGCCTCTTGCTCAATCTTATCCAAAGCAGCGACCAGTTTGTCATCCAGGAACAGGTCTTTCTGGTCTTTGGAGAAGGTACCCTTGCACCCGTCTATCGACACACAGTTGAGCTGGTACTTTTGGTAGCCGATGGCATCCTCGGCCACGCGCCTGGCGCAATCGCGGCAAAACCAGTGGATAACGTCTCCGTTGCAGTGAACCATTCTGTTGATCGGATACTCGGAGTAGCAGCATCCGCATTCCAGGAGAGTCCCCTCGTCCTGCGCACGCTGCCGGTTCTCGGCTTCCGCGTGTTCCTTCGCAGCCATGGCCTGAGCTGCACAGAATGCGTTCCAGACGTCCACCACTGGCTGTGCAGCGTTAATGTACTCGGAAGGGTCCGGCTGTTGAGGGTTGGCAGCGGATTTCCGGGACTTGAGGCGGAGGCCACTGTTACCGTCTGAGTAAGCTTTCTCCAGCGCCAGATACGTCGTGTACATGCGGTAATGATTATCCCTCAAGTGGCTCTCGATGTCGGCGACGTACAGCTGAGGAAATGAGGTTTTGAGGAGCTTCTTACTATCACAGAGTCAGACATAGCAGTCTCACTTCGGGTAACCGTGAAGCTGCGATGAGGTACGGAGATTGGGGAATCAAATGGATACTCACGCAGCTCTAGAATACTGCTGGAAATATAGGGGGCCTTTACCAGGCTCTCGTGGGTCGTCCTTGGAGAGTCTGCGGGCCTGGACTTCCTCTTCGGCTTCCTCGTCGGGATCCGGCAGCTTTCGTTTGAGAGATCTAGAGCGTTTCGGGTACGAGCGACCGTTTTCCTGTTCGTCCAGAAGGTGGGTGATAAGGGGTTCAGCGGCCCAGTGGTGCTCAGCAGCAATTCTGTCGAGATACTCCGGGCAGATGTCGGGAAAGCAACTCAGGACAGCTTCTCGACACTTTGACCGCGTCTCTTCCTCCTCTCCTGAGGGTGGCTCAGGCCGAGGGTCGGCTGGAAATGGGCCCAGCCCGCCCAAAGCACTGCTTAAGTAGTCAGAATGTTTCTCCCAGTTCGTTTTCCTTTTCACCCAGTTCCAGGCGGGGATGAGAGTTGAACAAAGGGTTGAACAGAACGAAGCTAGGCCAAGCAAAACATCAAGAATCATCTTCTCTTATCTCAGGAATAAGGGAGGACAACCGAGAGGATAAGTGTGGTCTGTCAAAACACGTTTCTGTACGCTCTCGGGCCGCTTGGAGTGACACGACGGACAACATGCCAAACGGCGATGGAGTGGTGGCTGTTTAAGTAGGGACCGCAACCTGTCTGTTCCAAAGCAACCGGCGTGGGCCTGTCACACCAGCCAAAGCTTAAAGCTGAGTTCGGACTAAGACGGCTGTCGGAGCGGCATGGCGGTTCCATCTCTCCTGAGCGACACGGACAATGGGGATCTGGGGATATAAAAGGATCACTCACCCTTGTTGAACGTCATTGTTGGGAAGGCCACCCGGCATCGCGACGCCATCTAGTCGTTGGGCGGGCGGAGAGGACTGATCCAGCTGCAAAATCAAATTGGGCCAGTCGGCATCCTCCATCTTGACGCTTAGGCCGATAAGATGTCAATCGAGCTGCGCGATGGTGAGGGTTTCTCAGATGCTGAGGGGCCGAACCTGAGCAAGGCTGGCCAAGTCCAACCGGCAGGTGCGCTTGCTCTCTGCGGCGGCTGAGAAAGGCGCGCGCACTAGGCCAAACCAGCCAGACCGGCCAGTCGGGATCCAATCTTCCCTAGCCAGTGCCCTTCGAAGCCACGAACCAAATGCATGGGTAGGAGCCTTGGTTCGAGTTTGGTGCGCTGAATTGGAAAAGTCGTAGGCATCCGAGAAGTTTGGTTTTCAAGGCAGCGAGGGTAGGTTATCTACGTTCGTAGTTTCCTTTCTTGCACTTGGCAAAGCTGAGAGACAGCCCGCGTTGGATCGAAGAATGCAAGGCCCGTGCTGTGACAGAAGCACCGAGCAGAGCTGGGCTCCTGGGAAATTGAGACAATGTCAAATTGTCAAGGTAACTTTTAAGGTTGGCTGGCTGCCTTGACGGCTGGCTATCACTGCTAAACTTGTTGCCTTTTCTCGTCAGGATATGGGTCGCGGTGCCAAACCTTAATTACACCTGGAGGGGCATCTCCTTTGCATGGCGGAATTGTACTGGACATACCGCATAGGTATTCTCGAGAATTTCGACAAGATCTACTGCCCAGACTAAGGCAAGCGACGTATCTAACAAACCTTCCATTCACTCCAAACCCTGACTTCAACCTCGCATCGCATCAGCAAGGCCGAAGCTCATTGCATAGTGCAGGGCTGAGATTGGTGGCTCGGCCTAGTCTGTGCAGTAGATCTTGTCGAAATTCTCGAGAATATACGGTACATCATGTTCTCCATTCACGTACTGTAAGATACAGTACAGTACAAAACCGGTGCATTGGTAGGCTAGGCTGGATGTAGCTTCCTAGGAATTGTCGTTGGGCGCCGAGTAACGTTCCCTCTGTTGAAGGGCACCTAAAGCCATTACTCAGGCATCGCCTGTGAAATTCACCTCATCGGCGGCAATTGGATCGGCCGGAACCCGGAACTGCAACAATGTTCCGGAATCGGGTATAGTACCCGGGTGTCCTGTGCAGAGCCACTCCTTTCACTCGTCAGGGTGCCTCCACTCTCTCCACGGCAAAAGAACCTGGCTACTTGCAGGTTTCCCAACCACAGGTTCACATTGACCATGATTCTGGGACGCCAAGTCTTGCAATGAAGCTCCACCTATACGTAGCTTTGTCACCCTGCCGCAAAGCTCCAGCAAAGCAGGGAGCGGCCGAACTGCGTGCAGGACTTCTTATTGTCCTGACGAACTGTTGTGTCCTTCCCTAGTCGTCCTCCTCGAAATCTTGACTTTCCTCTGACTCATTGTGCCCTTCATCCTCATCCTCATCCTCTTCCGAGCTGGGAAGGGCATTGCGCCGTCTCCGTCGAGACGATTTCGCCTTAACTGCCTTCCTCTTTGGCTTCGTGCTCATAACCGTCTCGGCCAGCCCGGTTGCCTGCCTACTCGGCCCTTCCCCGTGATCGACCTCGAGTCCATCCTCCGCGCCGTCATCGTCATCCACGACGGGAAAGAACCCAGAAGACAACGCAGTCGTCCTCTCCTCCTCCTCAACTTCATACCCCTCGGGTAGAAATCCCCCACCCATATCCTGCCTTTCTCCTTCACCCTCTCTCTCATCAGCATCCCCATCCATCGCCCGACCGACACCGCCCCGCTTGAAGACATCCGTCCCTTCCTCGACCCGACCGTAATCCTGCTGTATCTTCTCGATGATGCGCATGCCCATCAAGAATTTCCGCCACATCGCCAGCGCCGCCTTGCGCCTCTTCTCGTCCTCCTTCCGCCTCTTCTCCGCCTCGTCCTTGGCCAATTCCTCCATCATCCTGTCATAATGCTCTTCTGCGACCACCACGCCCTGTATCACCGGCACCGCCATGCGATGCCCAAACTCAAAGTCCACCACGGCCTCGGCAAAGTCGATACCCAGCCTCTTGGCCACGCGCATCGCCCCGCGGTAAGGCACGTGGACCGCACCCTCCGGGCACATGTGCTCGACGAACAGGTCGATATTTCCGTATTCGTTTTTGGGGATGATGCCGTTCTTGATAGGCGGCGGGATGATCCAGTCGGTCTGGTCGTAACTGTAGAGTCCCTGGAGCACCTTCTCACCCGTGGCGGCCTCGGCCTCGGCGATTTCTCGCCGCCGGTTGGTCGTGGCCGCGCGGTAGGGGACCCACTTCAAGGGCTGTTCCCCCGCGATGGGGGCCCTGCCTTGCTTGTGCCACGTCTCGGCGCTCTTTACTTGCACGACGTCCTTGCGTGAGTAGACGGGCTCTTCTCCAGCGCCGGATGCGGAGGCGCCCTTGGATTTGTTCTTGAACATCCTGACGGGACGGGCGCTGGGCAGAAGGGCTTCTTCTCGTTTGAGGTGTCGCGCCAGGACAAACTCCTTGGATTGCTTGTAGTATTGGAGGGTTTCCTCGCCGTCTTTGACCTCCTTCTTTTCCGGCTTAGATGGCTTCAAATCTGTTGAATCCTCCAGCTCATCTATCTCGGTGATCGGATGCTTCCGATCCCCTCTGACATAACCTCTCATGACGGATTTGAACCAATCAAACTGATCGTATCGCTTAATTTTGCCGTGGCGGTTGTAGACTGGGACCTTTTCAATAGGGATGCGCATCCCCTTGGTACGGCCAGGCAGCGTTTGCCTCTTGAGGTACCGTACAGTGACGTCCTTCGCGGTGCCGTCCTGAAAGTACCCTACAACGTACGCCATAACCTGCCTCGCCTTGTCTGCTCTGCTGCCGCGAGGCTCTAGCGCTTCTATGAGTTCCCGCTTCGTCGCAACCACGGCCTTCACGATGGCATCGACCGGGAGGTACTTATGTGTGACTGGTGAGAGGACTTCTGTCCAGTAATGAGGATACTCAAGGTCTGCATCATAGAGCCTTCCTCTCTTTTGGGATAACCGTGGCAGCTCAATGGCCAGATCGTCGTCACTATCGTCGGCGAAAAGCTCAGAATCAGAAGGTGCCTCCACCGGACTCGTCCCGCCAACCCGTTTCGAAGACCGAACGGAGGCCTTCGCTCTTGCTGCCTTGGCCGTGCTTGTTTTCGAAGAGGATGCCTTGTCATTCTTGGAACCATGATTCGAATTGTCCTGTGGCGTTCGGCCAGGGGTAGTAGCTCCTTTTGTCTCAGGTTCTGCTTCCTCCAGCTTGTTCCACCCGAACCCTAGAGGCTGGAGGCTAGCAACCATACGAGCCTCCAAGCCCAGAGCTCTCAGAAGAGCGGTGAAGAGCTGTGCACCGACGTCTCGGCTACCGGCACACTCCTGTGCACACAGCCGGAAGTCGTCCAGGCTCGCAATCCGTTCCCCGAACCTATCCGGGTCGTGTGACTCCTGCTTAAAGGCCTTGGTCAGGCGATCTAGCCTCTCAAGCGTCATATAACCCCACTTGCGGAGACCGGGCGCGGTGATACGAAATCGCTGCTTCCACCAAGCCGCGAGGTATTTCATCAGCCGGAAGAGAGGATCCCCATGGCTCATGTCCACAGCGCCCTTTTCCAGGTGCTGTGACGCCGCGCCCCAGTCACGGGACTGACGCTCCGGAGCCTTCGGCTTGCCTTTGCCCTTGCCATTTGTCTTCGGATTGCCCTTTTTTGGTGCCTCCTCGGGGGCTTCGAGCCCACTGTTTTTCCTCCACCTATCTACTTCAGCCCATAACCTGGGCGGAAGGTGCGACAGTAGAATCCCTTGGACCGTCGAATCGCACAACCAGGAGTTGCGAATTGCATTGTGCCAGAGCAGAAACTGGACGTGCGCGCAATGTGTGGCAATTCGGATCTTCCGCTCCAGTTTGGACGGGCCTTTCTTGCCCAATGCATTGACCAAAGATATCCTTGTGTCCCGGATTAGGGTCAACTCTAGGTCGCCGGACGGTGTTGGGATATCCGGAAATGGCGTTTGTGGCGTCTCGACATCCTCAAATTCGATATCCTCGTCATCCTCGTCTTCTTCGCCTTCCTCTTCAGCTGTGCCCTCGAGTTTTTGTCGCTTGGCGACGGGAACATCTTCGAAGTCGACGTCCGATAATGACGTCAGAGAACTGTCATCGTCCTCACTGTCATTCAATTCTCCGGTCGCGAGGCCGTTTCGGGTAGATCGCGGAGTTGAACTCGCATCGAGATCATCGAAAAGCGTCGCCTTGCGTTGCGGGGCTGTAAACCCCTTAGACTGGGCCTTGTCTTTCGGGCTGTCCGCAACCGTAGGAGTGCAATCGCGTGTTCGCTTACGGGAGACATAGGGAGGCATATCGAATTATGGGCACGGCTGGCTGGCAAACATGGTGGACTAAGTGTCCTGTTTGTAATTGGAATGAAATGGTCTGGTTCAAGTGGCGAGCCTTACACTGGAACTATTACACTACACAAGGATGCAACCCTAACCCTTCTTGAATGGAAGCTGAAGTTCAAGGTGGGAAGGCTCAGCCCCTCGCCCCACCAGGCCGCTCCAGGCTGTCGGGTGCGTTCGAGATCGTTCCAGTACTGCGCCAGGCAACCTTGCCAACGACCACACTTCAAACATCCCACTTCCATGATTCTTAATAATCAGAGCGCACGTAATCCGCCTGCTACCTAGCCAGTCACTCGTTTCGGCATTATTCTCCCTTTCATTAAGTACGGCCTCCCTCTCTCGAGTGCGCCGACCATGGCCTCCCCAGACCCCAGGGAATCCGAAACCTCCTACATCAGAATGTCGACCGCCGCCGTCGACAGCCGTGGCACAGACGCCAGTCTGGTCGGCTCGCACTGCCAATACGCCTACTGCAACCAGCTCGACTTCCTCCCTTTCCAATGCCAGTCGTGCAACAAGACCTTCTGCCTCGAGCACCGCACCGAGGACGGCCACAAATGCACCAACCCAGGCGCCTGGGCCGCGCGCCGCCGCCAGGCCGAGCTCGCCAGACACTCCGCTGGCGAGGGAAAGCGCATGCGGGACCTGATTGGCCAGAAGCCGTGCGCCGACGATAACTGCAAGACCATCATCGGCACCGCGCTCGTTCCCGGCGTGCACTGCGCCGACTGCAACCGCGACTACTGCCTCAAGCACCGCATGCGCGAGGACCACGACTGCAAGAACAAGCCACCCATAGGGGCGCGCGCCGCGACCGCCGCCCACGCCACCGCCATTGCCGACAACGCCAGGAGCGCGCTCGAGAGGCTCAAACTGTGGGGGCAGGCCAAGAAGGAACAGGCGCGGCAGTCGCTGCCGGCGCCGAAACCCCAATCGAAAGTGGCGCGGACCTTGGCGGTAAACTCACTCAAGAAGACGGCCAAGGGCGACGCAAAGGTGCCGCCTGAAAAGAGGGTGTACTTGTACGTTGAGGCCGAGGCCGCGACGCCGGGGGCCAAGCCGCCCAAGGGCGAGTTTTTCTACTCGCAGGACTGGTCCGTTGGCAAGATGCTTGATGCGGCGGCCAGGAGTCTGCAGGTGCAGAATAAGAATAACATGTCGAATAATGAGCAGGAGCGCCTACGGGTCTTCCACGTGGAAGGCGGGAGGGTATTGGAGTTTGGCGAGAAACTGAAAGACGTGGTACAGAGCGGTAATACGGTGGTCTTGTTGAGAGGTATTGGGCCGCCGGCGGATCTGATTGCTCCTTGATGCGCCGCGGAAATATTTCATCATCGTTGGGTCTTCTGCATGATCTCGCATGGCATGGCATGGCATGGCGTTATTGGTGTTCGGCTAACGGGGGTTTTACGGGCTCGATGTATTTAAGAGCGATATTGTGACAGTATTTGCGTAGTGCTTTGGACAGGCGAGCACTCGACGCGGCATTCCATGGCACATATACAATCTATACGGTCAAGCCAAGTGATATGTTTACTCAGATGGTTTGGCTAGCGACAGCATCTAGGAGGGAATTCTAACGGATCTAAATATGAGACGAGATAGCGCCTAGCTCCTTTATGATACCTATAATAACTCGCCTGCCATGCCCTTAGTCTTTCTTAGATTTGGGTTTCTCGCTCAATTGCTTCTCTCTCCCAATCAGCGGCGCATTCCCGACCGCCTCAGGACCGCCAAACGCCTCGAATCCCTTATGGAACGCCCACTCAACCGCATTCTCAACCGGCTTGTCAAAGATTCTGGGCAGGAACGGTACAATCGAGAGTCCCAGCCCAATGGGTGCCCAGGTCCTTATCCTCGCGTTCTTCACATCCTTCAACGCCCGTCCGCTGTAGCGCACCACACTATGGATCGTAAACGCCGGCAGGCCCATGCTGGCAATGCTCTGGAAGATACCGCGCTGCAGCATGACGGTGCGCCAGTCCTCCAGGGGCGGCACCTTTCCGGCGGCGGCAGCGGGATTTCGCGGGGGTTCCGCGGGTGCCGTCAGGTCGACGCCCAGAATCTGCTGCTGCCGGGTCGTGAGCTCGAGCTGCGGGTTCAGGATGCGCTGGTTGTGCCAGTACGACTTGTACCCCTCGTAGCTGACGTCGCCGAGGATGTAGATCCACGATACGCCGTAGGCGCCCCGGATCAGCCAGGGATGCGCGACGGGCCGGAAGGACTCGCCGATATCCGAAGTGTAGGCGACATAGCGGTGGGCGGATAGGAGTATGGTACGGAAGCGAGAGGCGTAGGCTGCGTAGCGGACGTTGGATTCCGTCGAGGGGGGAGCGCTGGCGGGTTAGCCTGGATGTGCTTGCGTGAAGGTTCTTCGCACGTACTATCCCTCGACTATCTCGTCAAATAAGTTTTCCTCCTTGTCTGACTTTTCAATAATCTTTTGAAGCTTTGGCGGCAGTTTTCGTCGTTCAGGTAGCTTGTTGGCATCGAATTCCTGTGACACATCCTTCTTGGACTCGCTGGGTAATGGTTTGGGGCTGTCTTTTTCAGAGTTTGACGGCCCCGGTTGCTTATCCGAACTGCCTCCCCACGGCCACCACATGTTGTAATCTTGTGGATGGAACAACTGCCTATAGAAAGAAGAGGAAGACTGGTATTAGAATCGCACTGCGCTGGGGCTTATGTTCCCCGCGTGATTCGGGTAGAATCGGGGAATCGTCCGATGCTCTAAAGACTGAGTGTCGATGTGCAATTGTGAGCTTAAGCCTCCTCGAAGCAGGCGCCAGTGATTATCCTCTTGGTTCGCTGTCGTGCGCCAGATTAGGTTATGAGGGATTTGCTGGAATAGGTGTCGAGTTTACAGTAAGTATCCGATGCGATCATTCAGGTTCAAGCCGATACAAGAAGGTTGGTGACGTAGTAAGGCGTGAGGTGGGATGATTTCCACCTGCGATAAGATGCCGGTTCACCATGGCAGGCTTGGCAAGCGCTTGTGCTGACTGCTGACCTAAGCGACACCCTTGTACCCAACCTGTTCCTGTACTTGTATTGTACCGATGCTGGCAAAATTTCGGATGTAGCAACGGAGGTTGAACGTCTGCGGTTCGTTTTCAGTCGCTCAGCAGCATCGCGCCTCAATCCCTCACCTCCGGGACTAGCAGTATACACTTCGAAGCCGACTCTTCGCCCACTCGCCAAGATGGTCCAGACATACAAAATCTTTGGCCAGGAAATTGGCTCGCACTACGTCAGTCAGCTCAATTGAACCCGGTTAAAGCACCAACCCAGCTCCTCTTAAACCGCTCGCACAGCCATCTGTTTAGACCGTTTGACGGAGCCGGGCTAACATCGTTGGCGCTGCAGCTTGCCATGGGCATTCTGGGCTCATTATTCGGCACCGCATACGCCTTCACTGGCGGCAGCAAGAAGATGCCTGCTACTCCCCCGATCAACGCTTCCAGCTCCGACGAGGCCGACTTCATCAAGTATGCCCCCAATCAGCCCTCCCTACCATGGATCCGACATCTCGCAGGATTATCTGACATGTTTATAGGAAGTTCATAGAGCAGGCAGAAAGCGAGGAGAAGAAGCCGGCGTCAGGGAAGCATTAGACCGTGCCTGGTCAGAGATGGATCAAGATGCGATGCAGACATCGTGTCCTGTGTACATGTATAGCGGGCTTTGAATGTGAGCCTCATGTCTAGACCAGCATGCTCCATATAGGGCATCACTCAATCCCCTGTTTGCAAAGGGATTGGCATTCGGGTTCAAGAGCCGTCTTTGCTGAGATATAAAGCTCCTCGGATGCCACAGGGTTAGGGTTAAATGACACTTGTCATAATCCGGACTTCCTACAACAAGACCCCGCTGAGCAAAAAGTGGCACACAAGACCCATCTAACTTCAAGCTTGAGAACGGTTGTATCCTCACCAATCCTCCTCACGTCGCGTTTTCTGTGGATCCCGCGGGTATGTCGGTGCTCAACTGCGCTGTCGACTCTCAAACTACCTGCGAAATCAAGGTGCGACTCATGGATTCGATGCTTCACTATTAACCCAGCTCCGTCCGTCACGATGAATATCTCAAAGATTGGCTGACCATCCTCATTCTTACCAGCGTGTGGAGTTGCGAGATTGTATATCCACATCTCGGACTTCAGGGTAAGAGTCGAATCTTAGCAACTTCTGGCCTGCACTTATATCCTTGCAGACTACCAAGAAACCCCGAGTTGCAAGAAATCTCCATCACGCAATATCGCCCGGGACTCTCATCAATCATAGGACTGCGACCGTCCTACTCCCTGCTGCTCTCAACGTCAGACTCCTCCAAGAACCCCTTGTTTCGTGGGGCTTGTATCTACGTACGCCAGCGAACACCCGACGAATTGTGGATTACCTCAGACCTACTGGCTACCCGCACATCCCAACAGTCTGTGATCCTAATCTCAAAAGTGCAGCTTCTCCGGGATGACTCAGGGTCCGTCTCTTCTGTCCGATGGCTGAAGCTCCGCCCCCCTCCCAACATGCCGATGCCGGCTGGAGGGAGCCATTATCGTGACGGCATGCTGTTTTGCTCCCAGGGCTCTCAGTCAAGAGGGACCGGTGGCCTCTACTACATGCCACGGAATGAGCCGCCGGAACCGGTTGCAACCAGCTACTTTGGCCGTGACTTCAACTCGGTGCAGGATGTTGTGGTCTCAAGCGACGGCTCACTGTGGTTCACCGACTCCTGCGACGGATTTGACAATGACTTTAGGCCAGAGCCCCAGCTCCCATGCCATGTGTACCGATATGACCCAACAACTGGAGACCTGCGGGTCATGGCTGATAATCTGGGCCGCCCGCATGGCATTGCGCTCAGTCCTGATCAGAGCATCGTCTACCTCTCTGATATGACTCCTCTGCGTGCGACAGACAGCGCTGCTCAGGATTCATTGTCGTGAGTACCTGAAGATTTGGGATCCCCTTGAAATCAGCGCCAGGATTGACTGACGACCCCCCTTGAGCAGTCGGGGAGCGATATATGCTTTCGACATAGTGCTCCGCTGTGGATCTCCTTTCCTCGCAAACAAGCGTGTATTTGCATACGCGCTCACCGGCCGACCCATGGGAATCATGTGCGACGAGAGCGGCAATGTCTATGCAGGCTGCTCAGGAGGCGTAGAGATTTGGAACCCTGGTGGTTCGGTCCAGGGAGTCATCGAGGTTCCTGGTGGGTGATGATTGCACGTTCAAAGGCTTTGCCAAAAGTCACTAACAAAAGAGCAGGAGGTGTGACGAGCCTCTCACCAGGCAGAGAAGGCGAGCTCTTTCTCTGTTCAGGTCAGCGGCTTTGGAGGATGCAGTTTACCTTTTAAGGGTGGGAAGAGTAACCCTTCGCAGCGTGAGAAGTATACCCTACGTAACGATTGAGTTCAGACCACCCATGGACCCTTCCATCGTGGGAATCAACGTCGTAACCGCGTTCACTTAGAGGATTTAAGATTGTCAGTCGTTGATTGTCGAGCTGTCAGTATCTTGGCCCTCAGGACATCAGATGGATCATGGACGTCCTGGCCCTGGAGACATTCAGCGACCCACATAAGCTTGGACCAATCATCGATGATGTGTTAGGCGTGCACCTGCCAAGAATGCACGTTGCGAACTGACAAGATCCTCCGATCTCGGAGCAGGAGTCAATTGGTTGTTGCTGTCCTGGGCTTTGAAAGACGGGAGCTGCAACTCCTTCAAGCTCCCGTCCCTTTCGGTGCTTGATTTATCAGCGTTTATCTCCAGCCAGGAGCAGCAGAACCAGCAACAGGACCATGGGCCCTATGGACGCCCTACTTCATTTGAAATGACTATACTGGTTTGTCCTTTGAAAGTCTTTACTCGCGCGATGGTGTTCAAGAGCACACTTCTTTCCCCTTCACGATCTCAACAACAGCCCTAAAGAAGCGGTCTTGAAGCTCCCAGCCTAGTCACGGTGGACGGAATACCCGGGTTTGAAAGAATCACACCACTCTGCCAACCCTGTGGTGGTCGCGGGTATAGCTCGTGAAAGCTGGAGATGAAGGAAAACAGCGATTCAGGAGGATTAGCGGCGTGTCGGCCACCACCTCAGATCCAGTTGCAGGCACTCAAAACACCACAGGTGATAGCGGCGAAGGCCTCGCTGGCTACCTCAACCCCAGAGGTCACCATGGTCGCGAAATCTGAAACTGGTAGAGCCAGAATATGGAATACCAAGAACCTAGCTTTGCGCCTCGGCGCTGACCTGATCAGCGCCGCCTCAGCCGCGGTTCTCATCGCTCCGATCATATCGATCATAGACCGGTAAGGCTCCGTCTCCATTTTCCACCACACCAACAGCTCAACCAACACCGACAATAGCTCTATAATGGAAAATGCCTCCGGCCGGCGCACCCTCTCCGCATCCCTCAAATCCTCTCTCGGCTCCCTCCTTCGTCATCCACACCGGGCAATCCTCTCCAAGCCCTTCGCGCTGATCTTCGCCCTCTACGGTGGCACCTACCTCACCGCCAACGCCCTCGATACAGCCGTTTCCACGACTCGTAACCTCCCACCAACCCACGTCACCTCGGGTACGGGCAAATTCGCCGCCTCTTCCACGGCCAACATCGGCCTGTGCATCTACAAGGACCAGGTCTTTGTCCGCCTATTCGGCCCTCCCGGAATCACGCCTCGTCCCGTCACCCTACCCAGCTACCTCTTGTTCGCGGTGCGTGACTGCCTGACCATTTTCGCGTCGTTCAACGTGCCTCCGTTGCTCGGCCCCGCACTGTCGCGCCGCTTACAGGACAAGGGCCTGCACCGCTACGTGTCGGGCCAGACGCTGGCGCAGTTTGCCGCGCCCGCCGCCGTGCAGCTGTTCAGCACCCCGGTCCACTTGCTGGGGCTGGACATGTATAACCGACCCGGGGCCCTGGCTGGCGGCTGGCGGGACCGGTGGGCAGCGGTGAAAAAGAATTGGGGAGTGAGCACCCTTGCGAGGATATGTCGCATCGTGCCAGCATTCGGGGTGGGTGGGGTGGTGAATATGAAGGTGAGAAGGTCGCTAATGGAGCGGCTGGCGTAAAGTATGTGGAGAGCGGCTCATCAACTAGTGGCCTTTGAGACTATGAGGCCATTGTACGATATAATGTTTGTGGGTTGTTTTAGGCGTTGATACCCGAGATTCCATTCGGATGGGCATGCTTCATAGATTATAGAGGGCCAGGGTTAGACCAGGAAAAGTAATGGGCGGGTTTGTGGGTACGTCTCGAGAGACTCTGCTCTCACGGTTCAGCCTGAGGGCATGGATGGGACAGGTTCGGTTGGGGGCGATGAAGCCATATATATATACTCGACCGCTCCAATAAGATGAATTTCATAAGAATCCGCTCTTTTGCAACGCCTGGAGGATGAGGTCGTCCCTTTGCTTCGCCGGATCTTTGTACCCCTTTCCCTCACCGGTATCGATGAAGTTTTCCCAGAACTTCAGCCCCTCGATGCCTTCCTCACGACACAGCACGCCTCTCTCCTCAGCCATCTCCAACTCTTCCTCTGCAACACCGATACTCCAGCCGAACCTCTCGGCAGCGTCCCGAGCAGTGACCCCACGCCCAAACATGCGCCAGTCCCATGGCACCTCCCTCTCAGGCGGAAACTCATGCAGATCCCTGAGCCAGGCAAGAAGCGCCTTGATAGTCGTCTCGTCGGTGCGGTCACGGCCCTGTACTACCATGACGCCCGACTTGAATGTCCTCAGCCGTACAGGCAGCCCCAGCTTCTCCCACAACCTCGCCGCCTTCTCGAAATCGGCTGGACTAACCAGCTCGACGCCGCCCCGGGCGCGGTTAAACATGGCCCACAGATCCACCAACGAAATGATGCCGCCCGCCTTCCTCAGCACGCCCCTCCGATCATCCGTCAGGAACTCGGCCAGGGTGCGTGCCAGCTCGGAGAGATACAGCGAGTCGCTGCCGCCGCCGCCGCCGCCGCTTCCCACAATGTCCTTGGTGGTGATGAGGCCGAGCTGGCTGACCGAGTCGGCAAGTAGCGCGTTCTCGCTGGCGCTCGAGCCGCCCGAGGCGCCCTTAACCTGGCGGGCAAAGTCTTCGGCAAGCGCCACTATTTCCTTGGCTGAGGCCATGAGCGCTTCGAGGTCCTCAAAGGCGCCGCCAATCATGAGCTCGTTGTTCTTGCGCATTGCCTGGCCGCGATGCTCAAGGCCGGCGATGCCGCCGATTTTGGGCCGCTCCCTCGACGTACCGCTGCCGTGCCCGGCGGTGAGGCCGTTGCTGCTTGTGGGGTCGCCGGGACGAGACGACTTGGGGATGGGCGGTGCGCCGTGGAGAAGCCACTTTCGCTGCGTCATGGAGCCTTTGAGTCGCTCGTAGAAGATCTTCTCGCCGCCGCCTCGGAATGAAAGCTTTATGCTTTCGAGGTTCTCGAAGCCTGGAGGTGCAGCGCCCAAGGAGTTCAGAAACGGCCCGGGAGACTCGGTCTGCGCCCGGGCCTGCGACGTGAGCTCCGCGGGAAGGTCGTGCGAGATCAGGGGGGCACCGCACATCTCGCAGGACAGCAACGAAGGGTGGTTGAGGAAGGTGCAGCGCGGGCATTGGAACGACGCATCAGGGTCTGGGCTCAGATGTTGGGGTTTCTGGAGAGGGGGCGGTTCCAATGCGCTCCTGTCAGTAGATGAGGCCCCGGGAAGCGTCTTCGGCCGCAGCGGCAGGGGAGTCTGCAGCGCCGGGCTGCTAGGTTGCCTGCTGGTTGCATTGGATATCGCGGCCTTGAGAAGGTGCGTCAGGGTCGGCTTGATGCCGCAGGCAAGACAAGGCGGAAGCGGCGTGTGCGCGTTGGCGGTCGTCGGATCGAAGTTGGAAGGTAGAGGGTTCGAGAAGCTACAAATGGTGCACACCCATGTTGCCGCGGTTGCCAGGGGCGGATCAACCGAAGATATTCTGAGGGGGCCATCTAGCTGTTGGGTTGGCGAGGAAGTGCTGCTGCGCGAAGGGTCGCCGGGAGATCGTGGTTGAAGAGCGGGGCGCTTTGTGGGTTTTGGAATCAGCGTGATTTTAGCTGATGACTTGAGAAAGCCGCCCTGCAAAACGCAAGTCAGCTATCACGAGAACCCCTGTCGACTGCCCCTTTGTGAAGCGGCGGCATACGTAGAACTCGAAGCGGTCCACATCCTTGAGGTCGAGGGCCACAGAGTGCTTCCTCGGCTCGGCCTTGTCGACATAGCAGATTCGATGCGAGGTCAAATAGACCTGGCCGTTCTGATGGTTGGGCAACTTGAATTTCCTGAACAAAGACACAACACCATATTAGTATGCGGACTGTTATCGCAGTTAGTTCGTAACTCACCCCTCATATAACCCAACATTGTCTTGCACAAACAATAAGTCTTCATCGGGCAGGTACGAGGGCCGCAGAGCGGTTGTCAAGTCGATATGCTTTAGAAACATTCGTCATAGCTGGGGCAGGCTGTCCCGGCGTGTCGAGAGAATTCCAAAGGTTAGAGCCGACGTGTTGGCTGGTTGTTGCAATTCAATCCACGCTTCCGGTCGCTGATGCATCATCACCTTGCTGACGTCAAGCGATAGGCTCATTTAAGACGAATCGTAAATACAGTGTATCGTACGGGGTAATGTACTGTACATAGTTTGTAATTGTGGAAGATTACTCCGTACCTAAACTTCAATTTTCTATTTTTGCTCGCTAACCTGAGGTAAAAATTATTCTTCTAGCAGGATAAGCTACCTATCACCGGATTCGGTGCATCGCTTATGTAACTACAGAGTAGTTAACCATAATGAAACACTTACGTTGGCGCCAAAAAGAAACCGATGTTGATTAAACCCCGCACGGACTTCCTTCCAGCGCACAAAGCACACTTCGACTCTCCGCCACCTCTTTGACCTTCTCTTCGGATTGTTCACCGCCTCACCATTGCTGAACTGGGTTGCTCGATCGCAAATCTATCGCTCCAACTCCAGCAACCCGTTTCTGCTGCTTGGAAATCGATATCAAAGACTTCCGACACCAAACGGCTTCAGGAGGCAACCTTTTGTCTAATTTTCTCTGCTGACGACGGACGCGTTGCGACTAACAATGATGCCGACGTGGCCGGCGGGTCCTCCGCCCACGGGCGCTCAGCCGTCTTCTGGCTACACAACATCGTACAGTAAGTTTGTGTTTCTTGTGACGCGTTGGATCACTTCGAGTCCCGTACGCTTGCATCATACTCGAAAATGCTCGGTGTCACTGACCTTCGTGTTCTCAGCACCTCCTGCCTATACTGCAGTTCAAGTCCGCCAAACATTCGGCCAGTCCTACTCTGCCCCGCAAACTTCCTACCCCGTCGGACATGCTTACGGCCCTGCCCAACCCCTCTCAACCCCCTCAGCTAATACCTCGAATGTGAACCCGCCGCCTTCTGCAACCCCGGAGCAGCCCAAGAAGAAGGTCGACTGGCCGGACTCGGTCCGCCGATACGTCCAGCGATCCTTCATCCCTGCTAACCTGGATGCTTCAGTCTCCAGGGAAGAAATGGAAGCCAAGCTAAAACAGACCATCACCCAGGCCAACGAACAGGGCGTTATGTACACGCTAGACTGGGACACGATGCCGCTTCCTCAGCACATGATTCGGGAGGAGCGCGCAAGGGCCTTGCTTCCTCTCCACTCACCATCACCTGCGCAAGCTTCGATTCCTGCCGTTGGTGCTGGTTCCGCATCAAAGAAAAGGAAGTCTTCGGATCTGTCGGACGCCCCCGGCGTGACCCCATCGGCAACCCCTCCCTGGCGTGTCGGCTCGGGCCGCCTTGAAGACCGCATTTCCGCTTCCCCGGACAAACGCCAGGCCAGCGACGAAACCATTAAAAGTATGAGTAAGTTAAGGCTGGACAAGCGCCAGAAGCGCTTCGAAGGAGAATACAAGTCGGTACAGCGCTCTGCCAGCCCGCCTCCCACCGACGGCCCTGTGGTTGGCACCTGCCAGAACCTGGAGAAGCGCTACCTTCGCCTGACTGCCCCTCCGAAGCCGGACCAAGTTCGTCCTCCTTCTATTCTGCGGCAGACGCTGGAGCTTCTCAAAAAGAGGTGGAAGAAGGACCAGAACTATTCGTATATCTGCGACCAGTTCAAATCCATGAGGCAGGATCTTACGGTGCAGCATGTTCGAGATGAGTTCACAGTCCAGGTCTATGAAATCCATGCCCGCATCGCCTTGGAAAAGGGGGATCTCGGTGAGTATAATCAGTGTCAAACCCAGCTCAAGGGCCTGTACAAGCTGGGTCTGAAAGGCAATCCCAACGAATTTAAGGCGTACCGGATATTGTATTACATTCACACAGCAAACCGCACAGAGCTGAATAATGCTCTGGCAGATCTAACTGCAGCAGAAAAAAAGGACACGGCCATCAAGCACGCGTTGGACGTGCGATCTGCCCTGGCCTTGAACAACTACCACCGATTTTTCCAGCTCTACAACCAGACACCCAACATGGGCGCATATCTCATGGATATGTTCGTCGGTCGGGAGCGTCTAGCGGCTCTGTGCACCATCT